GGCAGGGCCAACTCACAGCATCTTCGTCACAAAACCAAGGTCAGCTCTGCCCACCTGACTGCGACCCCAGGCACCTGGTGGTGTTGGAAGGCTCTGTCTGGTGGTGGAGCTGAGGTCCAGTGGCAGGGAGAGACCCCAAGGGCTCTAAGACTGCTATGGTGCCAGAGCTGTGCAGATCCTTCCCCAGCAGCAAAAAGCCAAAGGTCCCCTTGTCCTGCTGGTTCCGTGCAGGGAGGGAGGGAGATGGTAGCAATTGTCCCCAAGGGGTGAGGTCCCAGCCTCTGCCCCATCCTCTCCAGGTGGCCACTGATTTTCCCGTGCTGGCTGGGAGGAGCTCACCCTGTCCTCCGCAGCTCACCGGTGCAAAGAAACACCTAGGTTCAAAGGTTTGTTGGGGTGAAGGCGTCATGAGCCCCAAGGGGCGCCAAGCTTCTGGCCAATGTGGCCTTACCACCCACGAACCCCCACCTCTCAGCTGTCCCCAAAGGGTGCAGAGCCGGTCCTTAGGTGGACCCAACTGATTCACCCTTGGCCTGACTGGCTGCTCCTCCCTCTCCCTCACGGGGTTGGGGTTCTGCTGCACCTCCGGAGGAGCCCTCATCCAGCCCTGCTCTTCATCATCTTTCTTGTGACCCCCATCCCCCAGCCCGCGCCACCTAGGGCTGACAGTCATCTGAGAGATCCTTAGCATAAAGAAAGCACCGTCCCTTTGAAGATTCCTGGGATTTCAGGAGTTGAATGCCAGGACCTGGGGGGAAGACCAAAGATTCACTGGTTTTCGCAATGTTGCAGGGTCCGGCATCCGCGGTGCGGGTACCATCCATTCCGTTCCACTGTCCTTGCTGGCTGTTCACGGACGCGGCTTGTGCTGTAGGCCCTGTGTGGGTGGGGTAGACCTGGAGCATGGTGGAGACAGTGGGGCCCCCCAGGTGGCTCCCACTCATCAGACTCCTGGCTAGAGTTGATGACAACTCCTGTTCAGGAGTCTCCAGGGGCACCCTGCAGGGAGACCCAAAGTCCATGCCTACCCGGAAGCTGCAGAAGACCAGCCTCGCCTGGGGAGTGGGCATGTTCCTGTCCCCAGCTAGCAGCCCTTGAGGACTCATCGGTCTCTTGGGGGGAGTGACCTGGGTGCTCACGAGAGTCCCTGCTTCTTGGGTTCCTGGAGCGCAGCCCGTGTTCATGGCCTCAAACCTGTGCAGCCTGATGAGAAGGTACCCTGAGACAGGCTGGGGTGACCGTCCCATGTACACCCCATCCCCTCTCTGCCCAGCACCCCACTCCTAGCAGCTCTCTGCCGAATGCAGAAGCCAGAGGGCCTAGTGCTGAGATGGTGCCAGTGAAGGCCGAGCTGGCCCGGGGCTGGTGTCACCAAGATCCAGGGACTGTGGACTGGTTCCTTGCAGTGCTGGGAATGGCTGGGCTCTGCGGGACAGCTGGAAGCTGTCCTGGAGAACTAGAGGGCCCACGGCACAGGGGTCCCTGACCTGAGGGAGGAGAGGGACATGGCCCTAAAGACACACACGTGCACAGGCAGGGATGGCGGTAAAGGTGGGCTGCAAAAATCACTTCGAGAAAGAAAAGCCCCCGCTGCAGACCCGGGCTCCTGGAATCTGTTGTAACAGATTTGCCCAAGCTGGTTAACGGTATTTGTGGTTTGCAAGATGCTACATGTCCTGGGAAAATGACAGACAAGTTATTATCACCTCTCCACTGTCCTCCTGCCCAAACCTGCCCGTGCCGGGCACCCAGCTGCCGGGAGTGGGTGCGAGGAAATTAACAGCCCCGCGCCGCGCCCGCCCCCCGCCCGACACCCCAGCCATCCCGCCAGGCCCAGGGCTCCCAGCCAGGCCAGGCCCAGCTTGGGCTGGGGTGGGGAGGGGTCGGGCAGCGCCACGGCAGGAGGTACAGTGTTCGGGCAGAGCGTTTCCGAACGCACGCATCCGAACAGGCAAGTCTGGGCGGCTCTGTGTCAACAGCCGAAGATAAATAAGATTTTATCGGCTAGGAATCTGTTGAAACACATCCATCTAGCGGTTCTAGGGGAGAAGGAGGCAGGAGGGGGGCGCAAGCGGAGGAAGCATCTCCTTTGACCTCTGCAGGAGACAGCACCCAGCACCCACCAGCAGTGCCGTCCTGCTGGGTCCTCCCTTCAGATGCTGTATATAGGGCTGAGGAAGGTGCTGGCGGGTCGGATCGAGTTATCTGTGTCCTGAGCTCCGGGGCCTACAGGACCCCCACCCTCATGTTCCCAGGTGATGGGGAGCTGCAGGCTGCCTGTTGGGCCATGTGTCCGGCCATTAAAGTGTGCAGGAGCCCTGCACCCTGCACCTCTGTAGGAAAAGGGCCTTACCCAGGGCCTGGGGGCGAGAGACGCACTCAGCTCGCCCAGGGCAGTGGCTCTTGCTGCCCACCCTGGACCTGTCGGCCAGAGGCCGCTGCTTCCACCCCAGCAGGCTCAGGAGGGGAAGGTCCGGCCGTGGCACCTCGGTACCTGGGACAGCTCCCAGCGCCAGCTCCTCCCCGGGGCGGCGCGTCCACAGTGCACCCCTGCCCAGCCCCTCGCCCTGGCCACGTGTCCCTCACTTTCTAGGACCTCCTGGGGCCTCACCAGCCTCAGGGCTGCACTGCCTTGTTCACAAGGCCAGGACCCCCCTCTGGCGGCTTCCGGCGTGGGCTCCCAAGAGCCAGGCTGGCCAGGGTGCCATATGACCTCCCATCACAGAGGTACAGAGCCCGCAGGTCGGGGAGGACCCCAGGGTAAGAGCTTCAGACTGGTGCAGGCTGTTGAGCCGCCTTCAGAGTGGCAAGGGGACACCCGCAGCTGCGCCCCAAGCCCCACTGCTTGCTTCTTCCTGGGGAACAGGGCTGGGGAGCCCGGCCCCTGCTCCAGGCGTGTCAGGGCTGCCCAGGAATGCGGTCACAGGCCCTGTCATACCTGGCCCCGCCCTGCTCCTAGCCTGTCCTGGCCCTATCTCAGGCTGGGGCTGAGCCCTGAGGAGGACAGAGCCCCTGGGTGGTCAGCCCTGCAGCGGGGACTCAGGGAGCCAGGGTCTGCCTTTTCCCAGGGCTCCCTTCCCACCTCAGGGAGCCATCACCCCCTCACCTGGTAAGGCGGCAGACAAGGCTGGTGCTTGCCATCTGCTGGCTTCCTGGGCCCTGCATGCAGTTAAGTCTTAGGCAGAGTCGCAGAGGGGTGTGTCTGAGCCTAAGGCCACTCAGAGGTCCTTGGCACCCCTGGTGACGGTGACCTGGGCCCTGCCTGCCTACTCTGCCCCTCAGCTCACTTTCCACAGCTGAATGGAGAACGGGTTAACAGTAGGTTCTTCCTAGGTGCTTGCGGGCGCTGGCTCTTCGGTTATCACTTAGGCCTTCTGCTCAGAGGACTCGACACTCTGGGCTGGGCCCCTGCCAGGGCGGTCCCTGAGTGCGTTCCTGAGTCCGGACCCCAGCCAGCGCCTGTGGGGTCTGATGCCTGTGTGCCTTTCCCAGCTGCCTGCCCTGAGGGGCGGCAGACAGAGCTGCTTCTCAGGGCCTCCCGGCAGGCAATGCACACAAAGGGCGCCCCCCAGTGACTGCAGGGCTAGCGCTCCAGGGGTGCAGAGAAGTCTGATAACCTCTCCCCTACTCCAGCCCTGCCTCCCTGTTACCTACCATTCCCTGGTCCCCGTCGTCTGTCCCCAGCATGCATGGATGGAGACCACACTGCAGTATGCAGCTGGAGGCTGGGTTTTGTCCAGACGCTGGGCCCAGACACCAGCCTCTGGGAGGTGGAGTGAGACCCAAGGATCAGAGCACCCCCCTGGGGACAGTCCCCACATCCCTGGGGGCGGGGTGACTGCTGGTCCTCCGAAGGAAGAGATGCAATGGGGAGTGCAGTGGTGATACCCTGGAGAGTGAGACCAAACCCACCCTGCAAGGAGCCTGCTCCTCCCAGGGCGAGGGCCAGGCCCGTTAGGGCTGGGGGCTGCACCCCTGCCGGGGAGCTTTCTGCCTTCTAAATAGCACCTGCCCCGCCCTGCCCCACCCCTGCAGGGCTGCACCCCACAGTAGTGTCACCCTCCTGTTCCCTGCCTCTGCCCTGGCCTAGAGTGCTTGTGCTTCCTGTGGGCCCAAAGAGGGGGCGGGGGGGGGCTTTGTCAGAGTGGGAGGCCCCACTTTCCTTAGCAAAGGACAAACAGGTCTCTTGCTCCTCCTTTGATTCTGCCAGCAGCGCCCTCTTTCTGGCCTCAACTTCCCCAGCTGTACTGGGTCATGGACCATTTTCCAGGGTGCTTGAGGCTGGTATAACTTGTGAATCCGAGTTACTGGGTCAGGGAGGGTGCAGAGGGTGGGGGTGGGGTGGAAATTGGCTCCCAAGCCAGTGGAGGCGTGGAAATGAGTGATGGCCCCAGGGGCCTTGGCAGGGCCAGCCTGGGTCACAGGGCACAGCTGCCAGAGGTCCCTGTAGGCAGCTCCTCAGGGAGGGTGGTGTCTGATCGTCCCTGGGGCGGGCTCCATGGGGGCTCAGACAGCCCCCTTGCTTCCTCAGGTCCTGGGCTGGGCATCTGGTCTTAGGGCTCCTTCAGAGGTCCAGCGGCAGGGTGCATCTGCTCGGGTTTGACGGCTCCAGCTGGGGAGAGGGGAAGTGCTGGGGTCCCTGGGTGTCCAAGAGCCAGGGTGTGAGGGGTTCCCTCACAGCGAGTTCCCCCTCCAGGCTCCACAAGGAAGGCACACCTGGCCATGCCTGCGTGCACTGCTGGAGAAGCAGGGTGCTGGGCTCTTCTGACCCAAGCCCACAGACCCACGGGTCCAGACGCCTGCACACAGGCAGCCAGAAGGCTCCGACCCCTGTGGCCAGAGTCCTGGGTGTGGGTCGGCAGAGACGGCCCCCATCGGCAGGGGCCAGAGGTGCTCGAAGCAGCCTCATCAGAGTCCAGGAGGGAGTCGGGCTCGGAGCGGGCACAGGCTGGGTGTGGGCAGCAGTGGGGCTGTCAGCCTCACCCCACACTCTCCTGCAGTACTCCCCAATGCTGAAGAAGCTCTACTGCCAAATCGCCAAGACGTGCCCCATCCAGATCAAGGTGTCCACGCCCCCGCCGCCCGGCACCGTGGTGCGGGCCATGCCTGTCTACAAGAAGGCGGAACATGTGACAGATGTCGTGAAGCGCTGCCCCAACCATGAGCTCGGGAGGGACTTCAACGAGGGTGAGGCCCGCAGCCGCGGCAGCACCACGCCCAGCGGCCCGGGCGCCTTGCAGGGAGGGGAGCGAGGGGCTGGAGCCCGGCAGTGGGCAAGAGCATCACCACCTCCAAGGGGCCAGAGCTCTGGCAGGCTCTCCAGGTTGGAGGAAACCGAGGGCCAGCGGCCCGTCGTCCTGGGGGTGCTGTGGGGTGCTGTGGGGCTCCAGTGTGCTTGGAGAGGCTGTGGGCACCTGGGTTGGCAGGAAGTTGGGGGTGGGGAGTGACAGGGTCAAGCTCAAGGTTGGAGCCCTCTCTGGGACCCACCAGGGCTGGGCAGGGCTGGGCCCTTCTCTGAGGCAGTGTCCCCTCCTGGCAGGACAGTCTGCCCCGGCCAGCCACCTCATCCGTGTGGAAGGCAACAACCTCTCACAGTACGTGGACGACCCTGTCACTGGCCGGCAGAGCGTCGTGGTGCCCTACGAGCCCCCACAGGTACTCCGGGGCCCCAGAGAGGCAAGAAGTGGGGTGGCAGGCTGGGGCCAGTGCTGCTCCTGGTGGCCGTGAGGCTCCCTGCTGGGGTGCCACACATGTCCTGGGCTTGTCCCCCACTGGCACCTGGCTCATGTTCACAACCCCTGGTGTGTGTAGGGTGCCCCAGGCCTCAGTGTGACTGGCTGTTCCCTGAGATGGGTTGATGGCCTCCAACCTCTGAGCCCTGTGCTCTGGGAGGCTTCTCCTCCTGCCTGTCCACCAGGCTCCTCCTGGATCTGTGACAGGCAGATGGGGTCCCCAGGGTTTTTGCACCCTAGGTCTGGGGATGCAGAATGAAGCTAGGGTGCACTTGAGGGTGGTCAAGTCCATGCTGCAGCTGGGGTTGAGGAATGGGTTGCTAGGCTGGGCTGGCAGGGTAAGGGAAGGCAGCTGGAGGGGACTGGGTGGGGGATGGTGGGTGAATAGATGAATAGATAGATGAGTGGATGGATGGGTGGATGGGTAAATGGGTGGAGGGATGGATGGATGGGTGGGTAGGTGGGTGGGTGTATAGATGGATGGATGGGTGGGTAGATGAATAGATGGATGGATGGGTGGATGCATGGATGAGTGGGTGACTGCACAGATAGTGTAACCACAGAGGCATGCTCCCCCATTCCCACCTGGAACCAGGGCCAGGCTGGAGGCCTCCAGTGGGGGTGGGGCCTGCACGCTGACCCCATGCCCTGTCTGCCTTCCCTGTGCAGGTGGGGACAGAATTCACCACCATCCTGTACAACTTCATGTGTAACAGCAGCTGCGTGGGTGGCATGAACCGGCGGCCCATCCTCATCATCATCACGCTGGAGACCCGGGAGTGAGTCTGCCATGCCGTGGGTGTGGGGTGGGTGCGGCCTGAGCCGGCTCTGTAGGGGTCACATTGCGGGTAGTGCTGAGCCGGGAGTCTGATGGAGAAGAGAGCCAGTCCAGGGAGAGCCCTGCTGCCCACATGGGACTTGGCACAGGGTCACAGTCCAGCTGTGTCCACCGGCAGCGGGCAGGTGCTGGGCCGCCGTTCCTTCGAGGGCCGCATCTGTGCCTGTCCTGGGCGTGACCGCAAGGCTGATGAAGACCACTACCGAGAGCAGCAGGCCTTGAACGAGAGCTCAGCAAAGAATGGAGTCACCAGCAAGCGCGGTGAGTGGCTGCAGCCAGGTTGCAGTGGCCACGGGCAGGGTGGGCAGGGCGACTGCAAGGCCAGGTGCAAGGCACCCCGGGGGATGGACTCCGGCCGGGGCCGCCCCCATACCAGACAGCTTTCTCTGGCACCTGGATCCAGGGTCCACATGGCAGTTGGGTCTGCTCTGTCCAGCATGGGCGCTGCCCGGTCCTGTCCTAACGCTGGGCTGCACACATAGGAGGGGAGACCGGCTCCGTGCCCGGCTTACCTGACCTCCCTGCCCACCCTCCAGCATTCAAACAGAGCCCCCCTGCCATCCCCGCCCTGGGTGCCAACATGAAGAAGAGGCGGCACGGGGATGAAGACCTGTACTACATGCATGTGAGTGGCACTGGGCGGCAGGGTGGCCGGAGGTGCTGCAGAAGGCGGTGCCGCACCAGGCAGACCCAAGTGTGCCCAAGAGAGGTGACCTGGCGGGCCTGGGAGGCCTGAGACCCTAACGTCCAGCAGGTGGCGCTGCTGTGGTCTGTGTCTAAGCCCCAGGTGCCCTCGCAGGGTCGATCTTTGAAGGTTTTGGGTTCTCCAGGAAGGAACCCCCCTGGTGTACACCACCATATCTGCTGGGCAGGAGGAAGAAGGAACAGAAGGGAGTGGGTGTGACCCATGCCAAGGCCCACCCACGATCAGCACTCTGGGCAGACCGGCACCCGCGGAAGAGGAATCCTGGGTTTATGGGGTGCTGGGGAACCCCAAGAATGAGAGACGCTTTCTGCTGGCCAGGGTCGCCCTGGGGCGGGGTGCTGCGGCTGTTCCTGGCAGGGTCCCTCTCTGCGCACAGGTGCGGGGCCGGGAGAACTTCGAGATCCTGATGAAGGTCAAGGAGAGCCTGGAGCTGATGGAGCTGGTGCCACAGCCGCTCGTGGACTCCTACCGGCAGCAGCAGCAGCAGCTCCTGCAGCGGCCGTGAGTGAGCCCCACATCCCGCCGCCTGCCTCCCCCCCCCCTCTCCACCAGCATCACAGGCCACCAGGAGGGCAGGTGGACAGTCTGGCCATGCAGGGAAAAGCCCCGGATGGGTGTCCTGGGACCCTGGGACCCTGGAACCCTGGGACTGTTACTGCCTCGTCCTGCAAGGGGCCTTGTTGGTGCTGTTGAGTGGGCAAACAGGGAAGGGGGCTGTCCAGAGCGACACTGGCCTGCCTCTCAGTCATCTAGTGTGAGAGCCAGGGTCAGTGCGGACGATAGCCGGCCACTGTCGGGATCAGAGGCTGTGGGACAGTCACTCTGGCTTCTGTGCTAGTGCTGGGTCTCTATCCAGTGCACTGAGGGGATCCCTGGAGGTGGCTGGGTGAGGACGATGGTGCCTGGCCACCCCCCACACGAGCTGTTGCTCTCTGGCCAGGAGCCACTTGCAGCCGCCATCCTATGGGCCAGTCCTCTCCCCCATGAGCAAAGCACACGTCGGTGTCAACAAGCTGCCCTCAGTCAACCAGCTGGTGGGCCAGGCTCCCCCACACACCTCAGCCGCCGGGCCCAGCCTGGGGCCCATGGGTGAGTCCCAGGGCTGGGGACCCGGGGTGGCCCGACAGAGACACATCAGCCACATCCCAACCTGCAGGGGCTCTGGGTGGCCACCTACCAGGCTGACTCCCGCCTCGGGCCCCTCCTGTGCCCAGCGCCCGGGTGCCACCAGCTCCTAATGCCCCTCTGCCCTCTCACCAGCCCCAGGAATGCTTAGCAGCCACAGCCACGCCATGCCCGCCAACGGCGAGATGAACGGTGGCCATGGCTCCCAGGCCATGGTCTCAGGGTCCCACTGCACCCCACCACCCCCCTACCACGCCGACCCCAGCCTTGTCAGGTATGTAGATGGCAGCCCCGCCCCATCCTGTCCCCACATGGGATGCTGGGAGGTGTCATGGAGGGTTCATCCACAGACATGATTCTTGGGGTGCACCCTGGGCTGGGCACCTTGGCCTTGCAAGAGAGCTGTGGCTTTGTCACTGTGGCCACAGTAGGGTGACCAGGAGTTGCCCTTTGGAAGCTGTCCCAACCCTGCCGGGCTGCTCTCCAAGCTGGGGGAGCCACAGCCGGGCAGGTGGGAGCTAACCCTCTTCCTCCCGGCCCTCTGCAGTTTTTTAACAGGGCTGGGCTGTCCGAACTGCATCGAATACTTCACCTCTCAGGGCTTACAGAACATTTACCACCTGCAGAGCCTCACCATAGAGGTGAGCACTGCTGGGGGGCCAGACCCTGCTTGCTTTGCAAAGCCTTGTCCGGCTGGTGAGCTCAGCTGTCGGGGCAGAGGCGGTGTGCACTGGCCCCCCTGAGCTGAGCTCCAGGATCCCTGCCTTTGTCAGTGTCTCCTTGCTGCTTTTGATTTTAAGGTTAGGATGTTTCTGAGACATAAAGAATGGGAGAAGTCAGGGGCCCAAGGGAGCTGGTGGCATTCAGAGCCATGTACACGGAGCCAGGGCAAGTGTCTGACCGCAAGGCCCCTGCTCCCCCCAGGCAACCCATGCACATGGCCGCCCAAGGACTCAGGCTCAGCACATGTGGGCTGGAAGGCCACAGTCAGGTCAGGAGAAACAGGCTCGGGCGGGTTAAGTAAGGCCCGGGCCTAGGCAGCCTTGAGAAGCCCACGGGACACAGTGGTCAGCTTTGTGGTCCAATGGGGCCCTGGCGGTCTGTCACTGGCTCAGCTGGGGCAGGGCCTGGCCTGTGTGTCCCCAGCCAGGGCACGAGGTGAGAGACACAGAGGTGTCGTGTCTGTGCGCTACACCCCCAGCAGGACAGGCAGTCCGGTCCACAGTGGCCGCTCTGGCCTCTAAAGGCAGCCTCCTCTCACACAGGACCTCGGGGCCCTTAAGATCCCCGACCAGTACCGCATGACCATCTGGAGGGGCCTGCAGGACCTGAAGCAGGGCCATGACTGCGGCCAGCAGCTGCTGCGCTCCAGCGGCAACGCAGCTGCCACCATCGCCATCGGCGGCTCAGGCGAGCTGCAGCGGCAGCGGGTGATGGAGGCCGTGCACTTCCGCGTGCGCCACACCATCACCATCCCCAACCGCGGGGGCCCCAGCGGGGCGGCCAGCGCCGACGAGTGGGCGGACTTTGGCTTCGACCTGCCTGACTGCAAGTCCCGCAAGCAGCCCATCAAGGAGGAATTCCCCGAGAGCGAGGGGCATTGAGGCCAGCCGGACAGACAGGGCACTGGGCTGTGCCAACGGCCACAGCGAGGTCCTCCTGCCCAGCACCACTTCTGAGGGACATCGCTGGCCGCAGGGGTGCCCAGGTCTGGAGGCCTCCTGCAGGCAGCCTGGACACTGGTCAGAACTGCTGAGCTGCCCATGGTGTGCCTTTGAGGGCCAGGCTGGCTGGGCCCAGGCCCGGGGCATCCTTGGTGCTGGGGACCACTGTCTCCTGCTGCCTGCCAACCAGTATTGCCACGTCGGAGGACCGGGCAGCGGCCGAGGCCTGCGACTAGGGCACCAGGTTTGCAGATGAAGGTGGAGGCCGAGTCTCTGCCTAAGGCCTCCTGTGGGACAGGAGTATTGGCTCTGTCCCCAGCCCGCGTGTTCTGCAGGGACTGTGGTGACTTTCCTGCTTCTCACAAAAACCAGGTTTGCTGGAACTGGAGCCGGCTGTGGCTTCGAGGAAGCTGTTGGTCCTGGGGACCCCCCGCCCCCGAGCAGATCAAAGGATGGTTGTGCTCAGACTGCTAGAAGTTGTCAATATTTGATAAAATGATGCGCTTTTCTATACCTTGGGTCAGCTCTTTTTCTTTTTCTTTTTTTTTAATTTTTATTCCTGACATTCCCTGTGAGCGCAGCCCAGCGCACTCCTGGCTTTTCCACATCTTGTGCCGACGAGGCAGGCCAAAGGACAGTCAGGGGCTGCAGGGCGTCAGTGGTCCCCAGCGTGGCTGGCTGGGGAGCAAAGGGGACCCCCTGCTCTGCTGTGTGCAGCTACAAGTGGCCAGGGAAGGGGGTGGTTCAGAGATGGCTGGCTCTGTGCTGGGGAGCCCTATTTCTCACAGGACAGCACTAAGATGGGCACGACAGGGGGCCCTTGTGAGGCAGTCTGAGGAGTAGGGGGCCCGGCTCACCCACGAGGACCCTCCGGGCCTCTGCAGCTGGAGGGAGACACCTATCTGGGACTGCGGGCTGCACCAGACGCCAGCCCCTCTGCTCCACCTGGGGTGCCCAAACCATGGCTTCCAGTCTCTGTCCAGTCTGAGGCGCCCCTGCCTCCAAGCCTGGCTCTTCTCACTGATGTCACCGAACAGAGGCAGCGACCCGACTCATGAGGGCTTCATCCTGGGGGTGCAAAGGTGGACATGACCTGTCTCTGCTTATTAGATGCAGCGGCTGGTGCTCTGCAGCTGTGGACGCCCCATCCATGGTACACTTCCTGGGGGGGGTGTCTGTGAGGTGCCCAGAGGCTGGAGGCAGGAAGTAGGACCTCAGAGCTGCCCCTGCGGCCTGCTCCTCCCTTCCAACCCAGAGCAGGGTCTTCCGTGTCTCCCGAAACAGACCCACATCCTCCAAGGCAGCCTCAGTGAGGGCCAGGAGCTTCCTGCGGCTGGGGAGTGAGCATGCGTCTCGCGTTGCAAAGATGGGGAAACTGAGGCTAGACAGGCCAGTCCCCTCCCCGCCTCAGGTGCTGGCCTGTGGGGAAACGGAGCTGGGGCTGACCACTGCTAGAGATGCAGTGTGCGTGTGCGTGTGCGTGCGTGCATATGTATGTGTTTGCACCCCTGCATTCCCGTGGGTGTGCATCTGGGAGCGGCTCATCCAAGGGCCCCCATGTGCTAATTGGAAGGCTCATGGGTGAGAGGCCACCAGAGGTAGCCATCTCCGGAAAGCCATCCAGAGAGGGAGGAAGGAGGGGGTGCCCAGAATGTGGTAGCAGAGCCGCCTCCAGAAGGGTCTTAGGGCACCCGAGCCCCAGGCCCTGCCAACCTAGTTCTCTGAGCAGCCTGAGGAGCCTGACCCCCACCCACAGAGAGCTCCCTGGGACGGTGGGGCAGTGGGAGCTCTGAAGGAGCTCACTTCGGCAGAGGAAGTGGAACCACCAGGAACAGGCGGTCCTGACCTGTGATCTATAAAACTCAAAGAGCCAGAAACAAAAAGACAAATTGAAGCCAGGTTGGGGTGGCCTCGGGCCCCCATGTCCCTCGCCTCTGCAGCCTCCATGGCCGGGGCTGTGTCCGGCAGCACCGCCAGGCCCAGACCGCACAGCAGGCACCCAGCCCTGAGGGGAACCGCCAGGTGGGCCAAGCACTGAGCCAGGCTTTATTTCGGAAACACCTGTGCTTTCCGCGTGGCACAGTGCTTCCTCGCAGGATCAGCAGACGTATGCCGGCCGCGTGAACTGTTTTGGTGATGTCATATTGGAAACTGGGCTTTTTTTGGTGTGATTGGTGGAAAATTCTGCTTTGTAACATAATAAAGTGTGTTTCTGGGTGACTGGTTATTGTGGCTGCACCAAAGGAACAGGGTGGCAGTCCTGTAGTCCTCACACACGCGTATGCACACACATGTGCACGCACATACGGGCCGCTGTGCAGGCAGGATGCGAGTACCCTCCACAGCTGGCCGGGCAGTCTCTGCATGTGGTCACCTTACCCCTAGGCTCAGACATCTGTCACAATAGTGGGGATTCCTGAAGGGGCTTTGGGGGTGGGGATCTGGGCGGGTCCACAAGGAGCCTGGTGCCCCTGCCCCAGGCAATGTACTCGGAGAGGCCCATTCACCATGTGCGGGACTCTGGATGCCAAAGACACCAACTTGGCAGAGCTGGAAGTAAATGAGGGCCTGGGGTGTTTCAGGAGACACCACCTCAACTAACCAAGAGAGAAGGATTTAAACCGTCAGCACTTTCAGCACAGGGCAAGGTGAATGCTTGCTTTTCAAAAGAGCTGATTTAAAAAAAAAAAAAACAGGGCACCAGAGACTGGGCGTGATGGCGCACATCTGTAATCCCAGCATTCAAGAGGCTGAGGCAGGAAGGTTGCTATGAGTTTGAGGCCAGCCTGGGCTACAAAGTGAGTTCAAAGCCGGCCTGAACTATATAGTTAGTCCTTGTCTCAAAACAAAGATGAAAACAAAGACAAAAGCAAAGTAGGGTGTGAGAAATAGAATTACAGTAAAATCTGGTTTGGGGGAGCATAATGCACCCAGGAAACATGCTTGTAATGTGAAGTACCTGTACGTAAGAAATCATGGAAGCTCAGACAATTTGTTCCACAACCCAAAACATTCATACGGTAACTGCAATGCTGTAATGTAATATGGTGCTCTGTTCAGGGCGTGGGGGAAGCCTGACTCGGTAACAGAGTTCCCAGGAGGACTTCAGCTCCCCAGCAGGCTCCTCTGTCCACACACACCGCCACCGTGGTCACTGAACGCGGACTGCTGGACAGAGAGCAGCCACCAACGGGCTGTGACGAGACATGCCAAGGTGCGCGTTGCTGACAGAGCCCTTGGCACCCGCAGCTCTGCTGGCGTGGCTCCCACCTCCTCTCCCCTAACACGGGCTCGGGGGCCAGGCCAGTGATGCGGAGGGGCAGGAGAGGGAGAAAAGGGGAGGTCAGGGAGAAAGGCCGGGAGAAAGGCGATGTAGGAGACGGAAAAGAGAAGGAGGAAAATCAGAGGAGGGAGCGAGCTGCCGTCTTTCCCAGGCACCAGCACCGTCCACGCGGAAGCCACGCAGATCTAAAGTGACGTCAGCAGAACAAGTGAGGCTGTGAGCTCGCGGACACAGAGTGAACACACACAGTCAGCCGCTGCTGTCCAGACTCAGGCAACACCGGGAACCGAGGGAGCAAGCTGCACCGGAAAAGTCCAGAGCGTCCGGCGAAACCCACCCCAGAGCCGCAGAGTGCAGACGCTGGGGAGGGAGCCAGTGATGACCTGGGCCCCGCCGCACTTGCGAGGCTGTGACTCTTCCTACGGACCCAGGGTGACGCCGCCGCTCCACGTCCAGTAGGACACGAGCTGGGGACCCCAGGGAGACGAGAGATCCAGAAGAGCCAGCACTGTGTAGAACAGGGACGCACGGGAAGACTTGGGTGAGCTTGTCGGAGGACTGGCTGAACCATGACAAGGCCACACGGCCGTGGAGAAAGAGCAGGCGCCCAAAGGCTGGGCGTGGTGGCACACACCTGCAATCCCAGCAATCCGGAGGCTGAGGCAGGAGGATCACTGCGGGTTGGACGCCAGCCTGGGCTACAAAGTGAGTTTAAGGCCAGCCTGAATTGCATAGTGAGACCCTGTCCCTAAAAGAAAGAAAAAAAGAGCAGGTGTCTGGCAGGGGACAGAAGGGACTGACGTCAGCACAGGACCATCCCAGGGTGCCAGCCTGGGCTGCTGCCGGGCCAGAGCAGTCTGTGTAGCTTCCCAGCTGACCTCCAGGGCAGCTTCCTATGCTGCCTTCCCAGGCAGGAGCGCCTGTGAGGACAGTGCCCACAGCCCTGTCCTCTGTCCCCTGCCCCTCAGACAAGGAGTGCCCTGGCAGCTCCCACTCCCCACTCCAAGGTCACACATGGCCTCAGAGACCTGCACGTCCACTCTCACTCGCAGAGACAGAGAGGCGGGAGTGTCTCAAAGCCCCACAGACACTGGATCAGGTCAGTGGGTCCATCCACACGATGGAATATGACTCAGCCCTGAACAAGTGACATCAGGATGGACAGACCTTGAGGACAGCATGCCCCGGGAGATGGCCCCAAGGCATCAGAGTCATCAGATTCAGAGGCTGGAAGTAAAGCAGTGGGGCCAGGGCTGGGGGAAGAGAAAGACCACGGCTATGAAAACCGCAGCGCTCTGCAAAAAGAGACAGGAGATCCCAAAATGGAAAGACGCCTCATTCCTGGCTAGGCAGGACCCACGGAGTGGGAGCAGCCACTCTGACTAGATCCCGGTCAGAGCCCCAACAGTGCCCCGCACAGAGCAAGCAACCCACAAAGTCACAGGACCCCGGAGAGTCCCAGAATGGCAAAGGTAATCCCAGGCTTCGAGGGTCACACAAAGCTACAGTGATAGAAGCAGCACGGGATGTGTTTTGGTTTGTGTCTGATGTCTCCCCAAAGCCCCATGCAGTCATGGGCTGGGGCAGGCCTGCCAAGGAGGTTGAGGCTGCCAGCATTTGTGATCGGCTCACATCTAGCACTGTGATTGGCGGTGTGAGTGCTGCACCCGCCCAGGGGAGGAAGGAGGCCAGCTTTGCCCCTTTGCCCTTTTGGTCTGGTCACTTCTGGGATCAGCTGCAGCCACCATGAACAGCTGCCCCTCAGCTGTGCCACCCCACCTTGGAGCCTCCACACACTGTGAGCTTTGAATGTCAGGTATTTCATCTCAGCAATGAGAGAAACACAGAACAGAAACAATCCCAGATACATTTAGTTATTTGATCTTTGACTAAGGAGCCAAACACACACGGGAGGGAAAGATAATGGCTTTAATAACGGGCTCTGGGAAAATCAGACATCCACGTGCTGAGGACTCAGTCTCTCACCAGGCGCTGAACTAAAATCAAAACGGGCCAAAGATCTAAACGTTAGAACAGAAACGGTCTGGCAGGAGATCACACAGGGACTGCTCTGGAAGAGCCGAGGTAGTTCATGGACAGAGCCCTAGTAACAGAAAACATCAAGAATCAACAAAGGATCGAATCAAATGCAAAGGCTTCTTCACGGCAAAGCATGGAGAGGAGACACCTACGTGATAGGCAGGGAGTGTTACCAGCTGTTCCGCAGATGCAGGACTAGTCTGCAGCATATATAAAGAACTCCAAAAGACAGATTTCCCCCAAATGAAAGACCAAATCAAGGAACGGCCAGTAACTGTAATCCCAGCACTCAGGAGGCTGAGGCAGGAGGATCACGGTGAGTTGGAGGCCAGCCTGGGCTACAAAGTGCGTTCAAGGCCAGCCTGAAGTACACAATAAAACCCTGTCTTAAAAAGACAAAAAATAAAATAAATTAAAGCACAAGCCCAAGTTCACATAATTGCGACAAATTTAAACCCAGCTCTGTCCAGCGTCTGGATTCTGCCAGTCCTCAGTTTGGGGGTGATCATTTTCCTTTTGCTTAAGTGAGTTTCCTAATTTTAGTACATTGGATCTGCACTACATTATAACTTATTGTTTAACAAAACAGAAGGGGCAGGCAGCGTTCCTCGGGCTCACTGGGCCACAGGGAGGTGGAGAGGAACACTCACCGTGGATGACGGTGTCCCTGACCCAGACAACCCGCCATCCGCTGCGCCTCTGAGCTCGCAGGGAAGCGCAGACAGTGGAGAAGGGGGCCCTCGCCCCCAGGAGCGCAAGCCAGCATCGTGACTCTGGGCCCCCTGGCCACCTGGAAAGGGAGCTGCATTAGCTGTGGCCCCTTGGCTTCCCGTCCCCATTGTTCTTCCCCAGTGACTGGAACCCAGATCCTGCCCCTCCCAGCCCATCTCCTCCATGCCCTCCCCTAGAAATAAAGAACACCAATAAATAAGGGGAAAAAATGTTCAACTCGCTGCCCATTAGAGAAATGCAAATTAAAACACAGCTCTGAGATTCCATCTTGACCCAGGAAGAGAAGCTGCCATCAAGAATTCAAACAACAGCCGTGGCTGCTGAGGCCACGGGAAAAGACCCACCTGCCTGTTTGCGGAAAGGCAACAAACGGAACCTCTGGGAAGTCAGTACGAGACTCTGCAAAGAACTAGGAATAGAAATTATTCCCCGCCGTGGTGTCTTCCCGCCAAAATCAAAGGCATCATACCGCAGGGCCACACGCTCAGCCAGGTTTACAGGACACCCGGCTGAAGGTGCTTCTGTTTACAGGGAAGCCGGTGGTTTCCACGCACAGCCGGGAAAGTGGGGTTCGTGTACCCAAGACCACAAAGCCAGGTCATCACCCAAAACCAGGAGCTACCTCAGAGATAAAATGGCAGGAGCTTCAAGACATGGGGGCCAGCGGTGATTTCCTAGCTGTGACGCCAGGCGGCGAGAATGAGCAGATTGCCTCACCCAAGGGTGCCCCAGACCCGGTGTGGGGAAACTCAGAGCCCAGGATTCCAAATCACACCTGGCTAGGGATTGTTACAGAAACCTCCTAAAATGCAACAACACCCCCAGACTAAAAGATCAGAAGTGGGCAGAGCACTCAGACAGAGGCGACTCAGGGGAGCATGGTCGCTGGTTCCTGGGGACCCACAGATCAGACCACAGCGGGTACCGCCTCCTCCGGGCCGCGGTGGCAGAGGGGTCAAAACAGGCTGAAGGCTGCGAGCTCCAGATCCACAGTAGGTGACCGCAATGGTAAACTGTCACGTTGTGCACATTTTATCTGTCACCGCCGAGAGGCCTCCATAAGCCTCTCTCTGGAAATATTGACCCCTGCACTCCACACCTTTCGTCCTGGTGGGCCTAAGTCTCCAACCGGCCTGACTCCCGGGCCCCCAGCCCGCCGGCCCTCAGTGGACGCAGGAGATGAGGGAGGACGAGGGACCTGGAGACACCGAGGTTCACATCTGACATCTGCCCGCCGAAGGTCCCCGCCTTCTCTCTGTCCTGCACAAAGGACACACTTCTCTTTGTTTGGGGCAGAAGGTCTGATCAAGCTCTCTGCCTGACCAATGCAAGAAATGTTATGCCACATTGCCTTTACACAAGCCTGTGGGGCTCTGCTGGTTGTATATGTTATAGCAGGGATTGGACTCAGGACCGTGAGTGTGCTGGTGCATGCTTCTGTGGCTAGCTACATCCCAGCCCTGCTGTAAATTTTATTTTGAAACAGGGTCTTGCTAACTTGTCCAGACTGAGCTGGAACTTGCAACCCTCCTGTCTCAGCCTCCTGAGTAGCTGGAATTACAGGCACACACTACCACACCCAACACCCAGCGACATTTTTAAAAACAGAACTGCAGGGCTGGGGATGTGACTCAGTGATACAGCATGTGTCTAGTGTGCATGAGTCCTGGCTTGGGACCCCAGCACACCCTTAAAAGTCAGGTGTTAAGCAATGCTTTTAAAGCTAGGTATGGTGGTACACACCTGTAATCCCAGCATTTGGGAGGCTGAGGCAGGAGGACTGCTGTGAGTTCAAGGCCAGCCTGGGCTACAAAATCAGCCAAGGCCAGCCTGGATTGCATAGTGAGACCCCGTCTTGAAAAGACCAAAAAAAGAAAAGAAAAGAAAAAGAAAGAAAGGTTTTTAAATTGACTAAGGATGTTAATGTTTTCCTGTGTCATTGAAGGCAGCATCAGATTTTAAATAAGGTAGAAAACGTGAAGAAAATTTTAAAAAGAAAAACCGATGAACGTGGGGGAGAGGAGGACAGGTGCTGGCCTCCAGCCAGGCCCGAGCTGGCAATATCCCGAGATTCTGCAGGAAACTCCTGCCCTTCGCCTAGTCACAGGAAGCGGTGGAAGGCGACAGGCCCTGTCTCTATGGAGACATCTGTGATGCCACACCCTGCCCCCGGGGCCCCCACGGGAGTTGGAAGCTGGTCTCTGGTCTGAGCCCAAGCTCAAGGCCGCAGGCTGCCTCTGAGGGACACATCCTGTCCCTCGGGCTCCTCACCTATCCCCATGCTCTCCAAGCGGACCAGCGGGTCGGAGAGGCACAGTGTGACCCTGTGCCCAATCGCCCAGGGCCTGCGTGCCCTGCAGAATGTGGCCGGCAGGGACGTCCTGAGCTGGGAACAGAAGCTGCCCCAGGCTCCACACGGCCTCGGGAGGTCTGCCCTGGCCATCTGCTCCTGCTACCGGAAGATGGTAGGAGGCAGGGCGACCGGGCGGCCTCCTTTCTCTCCTGGGAGGCTGCTGCCCGAGGCGCTTGCCGGGCTGACCTTGCCCTTAGCACCCTTGGGCTCCCACTCACTCTCAGGAGGAGAGAGGCCTTGTCTGTCCCCAGACTGCCCTGGCCACATGGGAGCCTCTGCTGAGTGGCCTGGGGACAGAGCCAGGGTGTCCCAGTCTGCAGGGAGGATTCTTGGTCACCACCCCTTGTTCCCATTCTCCAGAATGTGCCCCAGGCTGTCCCCAGCCTCCAGGGCTTCAAGTCTGACATGGAGGGGCTGAGGACAGCCTTCCTCGAGCGGCCCGGCTGCCCCCAGTTTAGCACCAAGGCCACCACTGTGTCCCATCCGGGTAAGAGCCATGGCCGGGAGGGGGGGGCCTGTGATCCCGCCCACCCCTGGCACTAAAGCCTGCCATGCTTCCAAAATCCAAAGGGCACAGCAGGGCCAGAAGAGGACCACATCTGCCAGCCTGTGGGTCTCTAGCCGCGGCTCCCCTTCCCCTTCCTCCTCCCCCCTCCTCCTCAGCCTTCTCTTCCTTCCCAGTAGTGGGGACTGAACTCAGGCTCTTTGCTCTGAGCTAGATTCTTTTGTCCTCTTATTTATTTATTTGTTACTTTTAATTTTGAGATGAGGTTTCGCAAAGTTGCTCAGGCTGGTGTTGAACTTGGGGTTCTCCTGCCTCAGCCTCCCAGAGTGCTGGAATTACAGGCACATGCCACCTAGGCCCAGCTGTCTCCCAGCCTTCTGGCTTTGTAATCCTTTCTTTCCCCAAAAGTCCCACAGGGCCAGTGCGGGCAGCTGTCCACAAGCTGGGGGCCCAAGGCCAAGGCCGGCCCGCTAGGCACAAACCAGGAGGCCCAGCAGCCTCTCGCCCGAGAGCTCCGGCCCCACGCACTGCGTGGTCCTCATGGTGGTGACTTTGGGGTCCTGCCCAGGGGATCTGACCGTCCTCTCCCATTGTCGGGGTTGTGTGCAGTGTCTGGAGGTCCCGGAACTGGGCCCTGCAGCCCGAGCCCGGGTCTGCCTCACCGGCGACAGGGACAGGATGCTGGCACTCTGATTTGTGTGTCTCTTGCATCTGCCATTGCATTCACAGCTGGCTGACATCACAGGTCCCTCTCCGAAGGGCTGGGGGGCAGTGCCTCAGTCACCTCTTGGTGCCCTCCCTCTGCAGGCTCAGAGTTCTCCTTGGAGCAACTCAGGTCCAGCAGCGAGGACTGGCGCTCGGACGGGCAGGACTGGCGCTCGGACTGGCAGGACTCCACCCGGAGCACGGATGGTGAGGGCCACTTCTGCCGAGGGGGCCGCCTGGATTCCCGGGGGAAGGTTCCAGGCTGTGTGGGCCTGGCAGCTGAGGGTTCTGTCCTCAGCCGGCCCACAGTGTTAATCCCTTGGGCAGGGAGACCTGGGAAACGGCACATGTGGCCCTCTTGGCCTTCAGTTGGGGTCAGCTAGAAATGGGGAATGCGCCCTGAGGCTCAGGAGGTGGCGAATGCGCCACCTTCATCTAAAGACAGGGCTCCAGGGTGCCGGAGGGATGGGCCCCAGCATGTCCAGGGCAGCACCAGGTGGCCCTCTTGCTCTGAGTGCCTGGCTCCAGCTGTCACCGCTCAGTCCCTTCCCGGGCACAGTGCCAGGCCAGGTGTGCAGGCTGCAAGTCTCCTTCACTGCAGGGAACGGGAAGAAACCAGCGGGCTGAGGTGGCCTATGAGCGGGCAGAGCTTAAGGGCTTCTGTCTCCAACAGGGCACGTGCTCCTGGGCAGCAGGAGTGCCTGTGAGCTCAGGGACCAGAGGAGGGGCTTGCGCCAGAGCCTGAGCCCTGTGTCCAGCCAGAGGATGCCCTGGTACATCTCAGTCATCCATGAGAAGGTACCGCCCTGCGCTCACGGCCAGGAGAGAGCTCCATGGCACAGAGAGCCCTGCAAGCACCCAGCCCCGTCCCCTCCCACCCACGGCGGCAGCTTCAGCTGGCACCAAACTCACCAGGATTTAAACCTCCAGCCTCGTGAACGCCTATCATCCCAGCACCCGAGAGGCGGAGGCAGGAGGGTGGCTGTGAGCCTTTGGCTTCACATAGCTCTTGGGCCAGAGCCCCACGGCGGAGAAGGCATTCTGAGCAAGGCAACGAAGGCACGACGTTCAGTCCTTACACCATGACACTGAGCTTTCTGAGCGCTCGTGTGTGCGACAGCCTGGCCCATGGGTCACTTGTCAGGTGTTGGTGTCACAGTCACTCTGGTCTCATTTTGTAAAGCGTGGCCGCCACTTGCCCTCTTCTTCCAGTCTCTGAAAGAAATCTGACAACTGAGTTCCTTTGTCCCCTGAACTAGGAGAAGTCAGCTGTGAAGCTGCCTGTGTGTGGAAGTTTCTTGTAGGAGAGGACTCACGATGGTGAAGCCAGTTCCTCTGCAAGACAGGGGCTCGTTCTTTCTCTCTGTCTTTCCTTCTAGGCAGGTCTTGCTATGGACTCCAGGCTGGCCTTGAACTTACAGCCATCCTCCTGCCTCAGCCTCCCTAGCGCAGGGATGGCCAGCATGTGCGACCACACACAGCTTTTTTCCTCTTACTTAGGGCTGATCCGCTGTGTTTTTTAGAAACCTGTCTCTTTGGTATCCAATCTTCAGCCTCATTGGCCTCTCAATGGGTAGAATCCAGGACCATCTGTGGTCCCCTGCCTGTCACCGGGGCCAGGGTGGCCTCGCTTCCACCCGGTGTGTGACTGTGGCTTCTCCCCATCATCTTGCTGGAGGTTCATCCCTGCTGAGTCCCCCTCAGCGCCTGTGGCGGGTTCTGTTCCTTCTGTCTCATTCATTCTCCCTTTTAAGCCTGGGAGATCTTCCAGGAAGCACAGGGTAACGAGGTGAGGGCACGCGGTGGGGGCCGTGACCCTCAGAGGTGTGGGCCTCCCGCACCCTGGGAGCTGGTCCTGGGTGTCGGGGATCAGGACCAGTGGTGAGCCCTCCAGCCATGGCACAAAGGCGATATTGGCCAGAAGCAGGGGTGTTCAGGGGCAGGAGTGCGGGCAGCCCCTGGGTGAGGTCTGTGGTGCTCAGCTGACCCTAGTCCTGAAACTCTGTGTGGACAGATTTCCTAATTTCCAAACAGCCCCATCCCACCCCCAGTGCTTTCCCTCTGAGGAGTGACCAGGCTGTAATTACAGGGCAGGCTCCGGACAGGGATGCTCAGCGCAGCGCCATCCCAGCACTCGGGAGGCCGGGGCAGGAGGATGGCTGCAAGTCCAAGGCCAGCCTCGGCTACGCAGCAAGGCGCTGTCTCAGAAAGCCAAAGGCCTCTCCCGCCGGCCGCGGCGGTGCTGCTCTGTCCCCTCCTCGCTTCCGCCCTTAGCCCGGGCACCGGCTGCTGGCTTTGGGGATCCAGTTCTTGGCCTTCCCTTAGGTTTCATCGCGGTTCTTTCCTGAATTTTTGCGTGGCTGCTTGTGCTGCCCGCTCCCCTTCCCTCCCCCCAGATGCATGGCTCCAATCCCTCTCCTTGGTGTGCGTCCACCACGCGTCCACCGTGCGTCCACCAGCGTCCGTCCTCCCGTGGTTGGCACGGGCTCCGTCCTCTTGCGGCCCTCTCCCTCCGCTTCCTCCACTGACCCCTGGCCCCTCTAACAAAGCTCTGTCTCCCCTTCCTGTGGCCGCCCTTAGATTTTGCTCTTTATTCACACTGTGGGACTCTCGTTTGCGGAGACCATGTGGTACTGAGGCCCGTGTGTCCCGTGTGCTGCACCTCCCGTTCCGGTCTCAGGGTGCGTCCCTTTTCCTAGGAAGGCCTCACACCTGACCTTCACGGCAGCACTGAACTCTGTGGGTGTAAACGACACATTTTTTCACAGGGTATTTTCTTTTCTTTCTTTTTTGGAGGAGGGGATTGAACTCATGACCTTGTGCTTACCAGGCAGGCGCTTACGCCGCTGAGCTAAACCCCTGCAACTCTGCATTTTCTTCACTTGTCTGCAGGTGGACACAGGCTGCTTCCAATAAACGTGGGTGTGATGGGTCCCCGTAACAGGACGGCTTTCATTTTTTAGCTGCATCTTAAGGCTACGAATTTGGCTTTGATCACAGCCTTGGCTGTGTCCCCAAGTCCTGCGGGAGCCAAAGGCCCCCTCTCATTCAGTCACCAACATCTCCCAGGTTCCCTGGCGACCTCTTCTGGGCCCCTGAGCCACACGCAAGACTTTCACTTGGTTTGCGAATGTTTAGGGGCGTTTCCAGGGAATCTTTCCTTCCGGAACATCCTGCTTGGGGGTGTTTTCCTCGGCCTGGAGAATTTCCTGTTATTTCTCCAAGCTCAGATCTGCTGATGACAAATTTTTCTGTTTCTGTCAAGGCTGGACGCTGGTCTGGAGCTGGCCCGGGGGCTGGAGGGAGTCGTTGTGGGTCTCCTCCTCTCAGGGGGAGCCGCAGGCAGTGGCTTGTCTGCAGTAAAGAGACCGGGATCAAACAGTGGATGGGTCCCAGTGCGTGGGGAGGGAGGAGCCAGGCTCTCTGCTGCCCATACCCAGGACGCCGCTTGTCCCGGCCAGGAGCGCTCCCTGCTGGCGCTGGGGCAGGAGGTCCGGCGCTTCTCTGAGCTGGAGGCACAGCTTCAGAAGAAAGACCAGGAGGTCTTGCTGCTGCACAGGGAGATGGAGACCCTGCGGAAGCAGCTGAAATGCATCCTACGAAGCAAAGGCCTTGAGATAACTCCGTTCCCATCCCGGAGGGTGAGCTGGCCTCGGACCAGAGGTGCTCCCCACACCATGTGACCTGCTGGTGCCCCGAGGGTTCCCGGCGATTCCCAGAGCATGGACTGGCTCTTGGGGCCACAGGCCAGAGGGGCACATTAGGCGGGGGCAGAAACTGTGCAGACACCGATGCTCGTCCAAGAGCCAGGGTGCTTCCTGCCTCAGCCTCTCCACGCCATGCCAGTGGACTCCCAGCCTGTGCTGTGGGCAGCCAGGCACCCTGACCCAGCTGTGAACCCCTCCAAGCCACATCCCAGCTCTGGGTAGGGTGGGGCTGGGGAGCTCCTGCTCTTCCCGCTACAGCCAGGACCCAGCCCATGCCTGTGCTGTGCAGACAGGATGTAGGTGAAGGAAGGGGGCTTGAAGGCACCCACAAATGCCCTGGACATAGGTGGCCCCGTGGACACGAGGGTCCCCACTCCCTCTCCAAGACTATGGTGATGGAGTGGGGAGAGCACCGTCTGTGACATGCCAAGTGTGCTTGTCTGAGGCTGGCACCCCTCGATACTCTCAGATGGGCCGGGGCCATTCCCTCTGGTGGACCCCATCCCACTCCTCCCCAGCCTCTTCCAAGCCTCCCCTCCTGGACTGAAGGGGCCACGTCCCATCTGGGTGTCCTGCAGGGATCATCCTTGGAGGATGGGCTGACGCCAGGCAGGCTGAGCATCCTGAGGACCCACATGGACCAGAAGGACCTGCTTCTCCCGGAGCAGGTGTGACCCAGGGAAACAGTGGGCGCTGCTTTGGGGTGCAGCCGCCCAGCTGCCCTGGCCTCTTCTCTTCTGGGGCTGCATGAGGCAGTGCAAAGAGGGCCTGGTCCACAGTCCCCACTGTTGGCATGAGGTGGGGTGGCCCTGCCAAGTGCAGGTAAGGGCTGGGTCAGCTCAACCCCCACGCAGGACCCCCATGGTGTCTTGCGAGGCCCTGGCTCACACTTTGCCAGGTGGGTAGGGGGTCCCTTGCCCTGGACTTCACAGCCAGAACAAGGTGCCTTCCAGGTCCCCGGCCCCAAGGATGCCCACCTCCCTGCCCAGCCCCCTTTTCTCCCCTCCCCCAGATGCAAGAAGAGGACACCTCGGCCGAGTTTGGCAGAGAGCAGTCCCTGGAGCTGGGGCGCGATGAGGAGGACCAGGCCCCTGGTGCAGAGCCCAAGGTGGCCAGGGATGCCAGAGTGGGGGACGGCGCCAGCAGGACAGGGGCTGTACAGGGGGAGGCCGTGCAGGAGGAAGAGGAGGACGAGGAGGACGAGGAGGAGAAGGAGCTGGAGTTGGAGGAGAAGGATGAGGAGGACCTGACCCAGGAAGGCGACAGCTCCTGGGGACGGATGTTCTCCATGACGGAGTCACTAGAAGACGAGCTCTTGGCCCAGCTGGAGGAGTATGAGCGCATGCTGCTGGAGTTCCAGGGCGAGCTGAACGCCTCCCGGACCAGATACTGCCTTGCCATAGGTAGGGCAGCTGTGGAGGGGGCGGGCAGCCGGCAGCCACCTGCCCTTTCCTCCTCCTCCATCACTCCCGCAGGAACCATCACGTCCCTGCAACGACAGGTGACTTTCCAAGAGTCCCAGATGGGCAAGGTCAGCACGGAGAATGAGGTGCTGCGGAAGGAGCTCCGCGATCGGAAGCAGCAGCTGCAGGCCATGTCTGACAAGGTGCCTGGCCCCCGCCACATGGCTGGTCGGCTGCGCCAGCGGCACCCAAGCAGTGTAGCCCTCCTAATCCTTCTCACAGTCTGGGAAGTGAATCCCAATTGGATTCCTAATTGGAATCCCAGCAAGTGAATTCCAACCTGCCACCTCCAGTGCGACCCAAGGCGACAGTAACAACATCAAGACAGATTCCAAGTTAAGGGCAGCCAAGTCCTAAGCCCATCCATGTGAGGGTACACGGACAAAGACCCAAGGCCTCTCCCAGAATTTAGTGTCCTGTGAAGAAGGGGGTGGCCCGAGGATGAGGGACAGTGAGGATGGCGAGTACCCTGAGCTGGCCAGCGAGGCGGGGAGAGGAGCCTCTGCAAAGTGCAGGGAGAGGACCTGCAGGGGGACCAGGCTGCGTAACTCACCGAGGGCAGCACCTGAGTGCTTTTAGCAGGCTGCTGCTTCCGCTTCTGATGTGTAAACTTCTGGGCCCTGGGGAGTCACAGCCTTTGACTTTGTACCCAGCTGACCTTCCTGGAGCTGACTGGCTCTGCCACCCTGTGCGCTGGGTCCTTTACAGGAAGCACTGTGCGAGTAAGCAAGGAACTGTCAGGCTGGCCCCAAGGATTCATTTCCATACCTCAGCCAGCCTTGTGGGCATCACTTATAGCCAGCCACAGGGGGCAGGAAGGCCATAGCCAGCTCTGTGCACTCTGCGTGGAAACCAGACTGGATTTAACCAATGCTGAAGCAGCCCTGCACTGGCGGGGAGCTGCCGAACTATCTCCTGTTCCCAGCCTGATCCCTCCCACTCTGCAGGGCCCTGCGCCTCACACCTGGCCCTGCTGCCCTCTGCTCCTGTCTCCTGGCCACAGTGCCCGTGGCCACTTCCCAAATGTCCCTGAGCCTGTGCAAGCTCAAGTGTGAGCCAGACTTGTGGACGGCTGTCCTCCCACAGCGCCTGGTGCCCCGAAGCCGGGCTCACTTAGCCCTCTGCTTCTCAGCTGGGGTTCTCCCTCTGCCCCACGCTCCAGCGGAGACCCCAAGGCATCCTGGGCAAAGGCGCAGGGCAGGGGACCAGGGCCGCAGTCACTCCGCCTTCTCCTGTGTCTGCCTCCCAGTTCTCCAGGCTCCGGGAAGATAAGAAGCACCTGGAGATGATGGTGATCATTGAGAAGGACAATCTGGATCTCCGCCAGGTGACAGCCTGCGTGGTGCTGAAGGGTGGGCTGTGGGGCGCGGTCCCTGCTGCAAATGGGGACGACGGAGGGACGGGCAGATGAGGTAATGACTTCCAGCTGAGCCAGGAACCTGTTACTTCCTGTATGCCCCCCTCGACCCATCTTGGGGGTGCACTGAAGCTGGGATGGGCCCGAGGAGCCCAGCCTTTTGGAAAATGTGATGGGGGCCACACAGGAGCAGCTGGGGCTAAATGGCCTCTCCACTGCCCTGTCCTCGCCAGCGGGTGTCGGACCTGGAGGCAGAGCTCTCCAAGCGAGACCTCACCATCTCGGAGCTGATGGTCAAGGTCAGCGGGTTGCAGGCACAGGTCAGCCAGGAGCAGGAGCACGTGCAGCGGTGGAAGCAGCTGCAGGAGGACATTCGGAGCAGGAACGAATCCGTCCAGCAGGCAGAGCAGCAGGCCCGCGTGGCGCTGGAGAGCACCCAAGCCCGGGTACGCCCCTGCTCAGGCTGGCATCACAGTCTGAAATCTTTATGGCAGGTGCAGGACAGGCAGGGTTAGGATGGAGGCCGGGGAAATCAACCACCCCGGCATCCTCAGCTTTGGAGGGTGAGATTGTCTAAATCTGGGGCTAAGCAACCTTGATTTGCCCACTTCTCACATTAACATAGTGAACATTAACATAATATTAATGTATGCAAAGCTCAGAGGAGAGCTGACCCGAGTCCTGTAGCAACCGAGGGTACAAACTGAAAGTCAAACTTTGCTCCGCTTGGAGTCAGCAATGAGGCATCCATCTGGGGGCAAAGAGAGGAGTCAAGGTTCACACAGAGGGCTGTGGGGACCCAGCTGTCCCCAGGCGCTGAGGACTTGGTGCTCATGGAGGGGGCCGGAGGAGAAGTGCAGGACCCAGGCTGGACACGCCGGTGCCCAGCACTGCTGCTACACAGAGCAAGTCCCTCATCTCGGCACTGCTGGCAATGAGCGTGGTGCTTGGGGCAGACCCAGCACCCAGTAAATCTCGGGGAGGAGGGGACCCCTCTTCACTCAGGTCCAGGGCAGTGATATTCTGGCTGCCTCTAACCCTGCTCAATGGGCAAACAGCAATGTGGGGCTCCTGGGCAGCTGCAGGGCCCTGTGAGGGCTATCTGGGCAGCTCTGCACTGCGGGGCCCCTGGACTTGGAAGGGCAAGGAGCTGGTGGGGTGCCTGGGGTGGGGGACCCTGTTTAGGGGCCCTGGCTGCAGGTTGGAGGGGTTCTCTGGGGTTTAGCAGGAGGTGATGAGCCTGCCTGGGCTCATCAGACTGGCAAACCTGAACTGCGTACCCTTGGGGCTCCGCGAGCCCTCCCGGGGTGTAGCACGGGCCCCTGGGTATAGCACGAAAGAGGGACGGCCCAGAGCCCATGGGTGGGGTTCTGCATCCCTCCACGTTAAAGGACAAAACTCAGGGCCCCGCATGTGCCCTCCTTGCTGGAGTGAGCCGGCGGAGCTCCGCTGGGTGGGGACAGTGGCCGGGGTCACGCGTGGCTTCCTTCAGGTGGTTTTCAACCCACGTGCAGATTGGACTTTTCCAGTTTACAGACAGGCAAGGAGCTGGTCGTAGAAGGCCTTGCTTGGGCTCCAGTGTGGGCTGCCATGGTCTGGGTGTGGTCCCCATTTCCCAGCACCTGGGCGGACCACGTGACAGTGGAGGATGCTGGCCAGGAGGCCCCTGCTCATGGTGGCGGTCAGGGCATCTCCCCCGGTGACTGGGTCTCTCTGCCCGCAGCTGGAGCGGCTGAGGAGCAGAATCATGCAGGCGGCCTTCAGCGTCACAGGGGTAAAGACGCTGTCCACGGAGATCACAGACAATGACATTCTAGAGGCCCTGCAGGTACGTCCAGCCTGGCTGCATCCCAACCTGGGGACCCGCAGCTGGCAGCAGCTGGGAGGCCAGGGCTGAATTCAGGGGGCCAGGTCCGCACGCTGGCATTGTAACTCATGCCTGGTGACCGCAGGGCCTAACCTGGGGGCAGCTGAGTCTTGGGGCTGGGGAGTTCTGTGCTGCTCAGCTGAAAGGTGGGGTACTAAGGGACCTGGACTCTAACCCTCACCCTGACCCGCAGCTGAGCCAGGCCTCAGGGACAGCGCAACCCTAGCTGGGGCTAGCTGACTCCTCACGGGCCTCGGGCAGCAGGGCATCCTGGCCCAAGCAATCCTTACCCACCCCTCCGAGCTTGGGGGTGAAGGCTGGGCCGACCTGCCCCCCTCAGGCTGGGGGGCTCGCTGGACCGGGGAAGGGCGTGCCTGTGTGCAGGGTAGGGTGGGTGCCTCTCACGGGCAGCGGCTCTGTTCCTGGCTCTATTCCCAGGCTTCGGCCTCTTCCCCCAGCGCTGTCTTTGAACCTCAGGAACCCTGGTGACCCCAGGGGCCCAGTTAGTGATGCCCTAAAGTAGGGACAGTGGGGAGGGGCCTGTGACCTCTTCCTGTTGATAGGGGAGTGCAGGGGGTCGGGTGGCACAGGGAGGGGGAGCTGCCCTCTGCCCCACAGAGGTGAGGGCCCCGTCTCGGGTCTCAGGCCCGCGTCGGTCTCGGGTTCCGAGCTCCTTGGCACCCTGAGAGGATGGGAGACTAGGTTCCCAGGGCTTTGGGGAGCCGATGCCCTGGCTGCTGTGGCTTTACCTCCATGGCAGGGGCCAGCGTGGCAGGCCCGTGGGCAGCACAGTCCTGAGGTACAGGTGCTATTCCTACTTCCCTTCACCAGCGCTCACTGCTGCAGGGAGTCCTCAGGGGCAGGCAAGGGAGCTGTCCAGACAGTCCTAGAACCTCTGATCCGGGTTCTTTGTGTTATGTTGATTGTTCCTTTGTTTTGAGATGGTGCCTCCCTGTATAGTTCATATACTCACTATGTAGTCCAGGCTGGCCTCAAACTCTCGACAATCCTGCTGCCTCAGGCTTCCAAGTACTGGGATGACAGGCACGTACCCCCACCCTTGGTTCTGAGCTGTGTTCTTCATGTTCCCAGCACAGAATTAGACGTGAGCAATAGTGATGGGTGCCACAGGCAGGGGTTTAGTGGATGCAAAGGTGCCTTCAGCGGGGCACTTTGGTAGCCATCTGATGGGCGTGTGCTGACACCTGGGGCTCTGCACCTGTTCCCTCCGTGATGCTGTGAGACACTGTCCCTGGCCGCCAGGGCTTCCTTGCCTCTGTTGTCCGAGGTACTCTCTGCCACCTGTGCCAGCGCCCCCCTGGGGACGTGACCCCTTTGGGGACCATCCTGCCTGGTCTGTTGTCCTGCCCTTCAGCTGCAGGAGCAGCCCCGATAACCACAGGGCAGAGAAACCGGTCAGGGCTGTTCCCTCTCCAGACCTCACATGCTGTGCGGGAGGCCACTCAGGGCGGTTTCTCTGCAGAGGGTCATCTCAGAGAGGAACGACTACTACCAGCAGCTGAAGCAGACTGGGGTCAAGGTGCCCCCACCGCAGCAGGTGGAAGTCCTACCCAGCAAGTCCAAGAAGGCTGTGTCCAAGTAGGCCGGTGGCCAGAGTAGCTGGCCAGCTGAGGGGGCGGGCTCCCCGTGTCTGACTGGAGTAAATCCTGGTGTGCCTCAGCCTCTCTTTTCCTGCCTGGGCGCCTGGGCCTGGGCACGTACACTCCAGTGATGCTGCGAGAGGGACACCAGCCCGGGGTCCTTGCTCCTTCCTGAGGAGCCCTGCCCTGGTCTGGGTCCCCTCCCAGCTGCCAGAGTGCAGGAGGCCTTCGAGGGTGCCCATCCCGGAGCTCACACCTGCGGAGGGGGCGACACACCTCCTGCTATGGGGTTCACCCGGCTAGGCCACCCCCTCACTGGGAGATCCCTGGGGTGGGGTAGGGGAGCTCCTTCCACCCCTCTGCTCCGGCAACCCCAGGTGTTACCATGAGCACGTGCTGAGGGACCCTTGCATCTGCACCTGTGGTGCACCCTCTGCTCCCACAAGCAAGGAGCTGTGCGAGGAGGGCCAGGGCCAGGCGCCCGGTCAGGAGGGGGAGGTCGGTCTCAGGGCCCTCCAGACCCCGGGGAGGGCAGCAGAGTGTGCGAGCCAACTCGAGCCTCCTAGGACGTCCTGGGCGTTCGAGCCTGACCCTCGGCGGGGTGGTCCTGGGGCAGGAAGGGTCGCGCTGCAGACAGGCTGGCTGCCTATCCCTCCCTGCCGTAATTGTGGACGCCGCAGGTCCCCCTCCCCTCCGTCCCTTCCTCCCCAGGCCTGGAGTCAGGGCCTGGCCTGCGCCTGCGATCCCTAACCCAGGCACGGAAAGACCAAGCCCCGCCCACCCAGCCCGCACAGATCACACCCATCGAACAAGACCCGCCCATAGAAAAAGCCCCCACCCAATCAGGGCCCGCTTTGGCCCCGGCGCCGCCCCTGTACACCCCCGGCCCCATCCCTCCGGCCCTCCCTGCGGAGACGCGGCTGCGCGCACAGCCTGCTGGGGGCGCAGGTGAGGCTTGCGTGGGGCGAGTGGGGGGGGGCGCGAAGGAGGGGTGTTCTTGCTGCGCGCGCTGCTGTCTTGGCCAGAGGCCGCGGCCTCAGCCCGAGACCTCCCTGGCGGGGAGGCCTCCCGCTGCAGCTCCCTTCCCGCCGCGCCTCGCTCGGTTGTTTATTCCCCCAGGCCCGAGGCGCCACCCGCCCCAGGACGCAGCACCGCTGAGCCTGTCCGCAGGACCGCTGTCTGTAAGTGGGTAAGAGGCGTGGAGGGTGCTGCGCTGCAGGGGCTGTGCTCACGTCGCCCAACTAGGCAGTTGTTGAGTGGGGGACTCGAGAGCCCTGCCCAGGGCCCCTCACTGGCATCTGGTGGCCAGGCGTTCTCTATCAGTCAGCAAATAGCAGGATCCACTGCCCCAGGCTTGAACCAGTCAGGATGCTGCCATCCCCTCAGAAGCCCATCTGCAGGTGGGCAGTTGTTGGTGTGGATTTAGAGTCTGCCCTCTCTCAGCTAGTGTTGCATGGTATCTAGGTTGCATGGTGGCTGCTGCTGCACCAGCCATCATATCAAGGCAGGCAGGAGATGACTACTATTAATTCATGAAAGCAAAACCCACCATTCCCCCGGCTGCACCCAGCACTTTCTCCCCAGCTGCTGACATGGGTAAGAAGGGACTAGGGACATAAAGCCCCTCCTAGGCCTTGCCAAACAAGGGCTCCCCTGGAAGACACAGAAGTGTGTGGTGCGGTGCCCATGCCCAGTGTCCTGGCGTCTCGGTTGGTGTCTTGCAGATCTGCGGCCTGCTGTGCCCCAGGCAGCTCTGTGTAGGAGCCCCAGCCCTGCAGCTAAGGGCCCAGCAAAGGATTGGCTGCCAGGAGTGGGGGCCCTGTAGCCGCCTGCTTGGGGACCCTACGGCTGGGGCTGGATGCCAGGAGGAGAGCCTGGGTGCCGGTTGACAGGAGTTTGTTGCCCAGGTCAGAGGGCGTGCTCTGTGCTGGCAGCTGCCACACTGCATGGTGAACCCACCTCTGGGGGTGCCAGACACCCTGTGAGTGCCAACGGCAGTGATGCAGCTGCCCAGTCAGCCCACCTGCCCTTCTGCATGCCTCTGGGAGCCCCAGGGCCCCTCTGTGTGGCAGAGGGCAGGGGAGGGGCTGAAGACAGCTGTGCACTGCCCTGGCCAGCCAGACTTCTTCCAGGCCAGCCAGGCCGTACCAGCCGCCAGCGCTGGTCATGCCTGTCCCTGCAGTGCTCCTGAGGACAGCCCGGGGCTTTATCTGCAGGGTCAGGGAGGAGGGCGGTTATCGGCTGGGCACAGTGGCCCGTGTGGAGGGGTCCTGCCCCCCGGAGTGAGGGTGGCTCTGCAGGTGCAGGTCTCCTGATACATGCGGCCTGCAGGAGGCCCCAGGAGTGATTCTAGGCGGCATTAAGGGGCCCCTTGCTGGGCTAGGGTCAGGGCTGGTCTCAGGGGCTGGAATTCCTGATGGCCTTGTCTTCCCAGTGTCACCTGGGAAAGTCACTAGGTCACTGCTCTGGGAAGCTAAGCCAGCCCATCTAAGTGTCCCTTCTCCCCCCCCAGACTGACCCTGCCTAGCAGCCTGCCTCAGCCTCCCTTCCTCAGCCAGCAGCATGGAGCCCCTGGAGAGCCGTGTCCACTACAACAGGTGGGAGGACAGCAGCCAGGAAGAAGTCAGGGTGGCCGGCACCGTGTCGAGCACAGAGGCCTCATGCTGCAGGAAGTGAGTGGGAGGGAAAGCCCACCCAGCCCCGGCCCGCTGGACACCCGTCGGACAGCTGTGGCTGCCCTCAGCCCAGCTTGTGCTGGCAGCAGGTGTCCAGTGCCTTCCCATAGGCTAGTCCTCTGGTGGGTGGGCGTCTTCCAGCTCCAGGCCTGCTCTGCCCAGGCCCTCTTCTGACCCCCGGCCCTGCCCTGGAGCTCCCTTGCCCTGGGCCCCAGGCTCACCCCCAGGTGGTTCTCACCCTAGGGTCTCCCAGAAGCTGTGCACCGGCAAGCTGGGCGTCGCCATGAAGGTGCTGGGTGGGGTGGCCCTCTTCTGGGTCATCTTCACCCTGGGCTACATCACTGGCTACTACGTGCACAAGTGCAAATGAAGGCTGTCCAGCTCACACCCGAGGCACGGAGACCACGGCATGCACAGACCTGCTGCAGGTCCGCGGCCCGGAGGGCGGATTGGCACGTGGTGGGCAGCAAAGGTGCTGGGCAGCGACGGTGCTGGGCAGAGCCGCCAGTGTGCCCTCCTTGCACTACCAAGCGCATGTGGCTGAGCAGGGACACAGAGGTTCTTCGAAGGACAGAGGACCCCACCAGGGGTGCAGCCCACTGGAGGCCCACCCTCCTGGCAGGAGGTGCAGGACACCTCAGGTTGGCCCTCAGCCCCAGCCCTTCTGCCTGGACCCCCTAATCCCTGGCCTCACTGGGTGCTGCCCCCCAGCCCTGTGGGCCTTTTTGACTCTTGCTCCTGTGAGGAGACCCCTGACATGGACAGCCCCTGCCCACCCTTTGCCAGGGGACAGAGACCCCGTCACGCCACGTGCCTTGCTTTCGCGTGGGAGGCCCACCCACCTCCTGCCTGGCCTCTCCAGCCAGTCAGGTGCCCTGTGCTGGCTGAATGCCTGCGTACAATAAACGCGTTGGAACACTGGCCAGTGACCTCTGTGCTGCCCTGGCTGTGCGGCCATGCGGGTGCCGCTGCTCAGCTCCCTGCTGTGGAACGGAAGCATCCACTCCCCTTGGGGCCTCTTGGAAGGATTCAGGGCTGGGTGTGGTGACCTGCTCCCTCCTCAGCTGACCTGCCGTGGACAAAGCTCAGCAGCCCAAAGGCCACCGTGGCTGTCTCAGGAATTTTGGCCCCTGCTGTGAATAGGTCTCAGCCCTGCTGGGCCAGCCAGCAATATCCGGTGGGGGTGGGCTTCGCCACAGGGCGTCAATGTCCTTGCCAGACAGAGGAGGAAACAAACAGGAAGAGCTTGGCCTGGCTGGTTTCCTCCTCCCCAAAGGCCCCAGCTTAGGACCCCCCAGAGGGTGAGGCCCTGACTGCTAGTAGCCTGTGGCAGGGCTGGGCAGTGAGTGTCCAGTTGTCTGAGCTGCTGTAGGGCTATTATGAAATCTTGAAGATGTCCCCAACCTGCTATCTGAAGCCATTGTGCGGTGGGCACCACTGCAGGACCCAGGGCTCAGCTCTGCTCTGGAGGCGCTGGGCAGCCCTCGTGTTGGAGCTGTGTGCCCTGACCAGGTGGGTCAGTGGGGAGCAGAACAAGGAGGGGCAGCCGGAGGATGAGTGCCACTGGCTGGGAGGCGAGGGAGGTGACTCAGGAGGTACAGGCTGGTACAGCACTCCAGGGCTGGTGCCAGGGTCGTGCTGTGCCCCAGGCCCACCCTGCCAGCTGCCTAGCCCCAGGCAGAGGCCTGAGGGGTACCCCCAAGACCGTGCACTCCATTGACTGCAGCCTTCAGGGACCCAGTAAACAGCCCCATCTTCAGCCCTGGGCTAGGTGGCCCACTGCGCTAGGATGGCAGTGGACAGACAGCATGGATGGAGGCTGGCAGCAGCCGCCCCTGGGGAGGCAGGGACGGGGCTGTGTCCGGTGGGGTTCGGATCTGGTTTCCTCATGGGTGGGCCTCCAGCAGCCACTGTGGGAGTGGCTGAGGGAAGGATCACGGGCAGGGCTGTTTCTTAGCAAATGTTTATTAGCAGCGTGGATGGGAGGAGAAAACACCAGAGGCTTCTGCTATAAATTAAAACATGCCCCAAACCATACACATACTCCGCCTGCACAGACAAGGGCATGCGGTCAGCGTCAGTGCAGGGTCAGATCTGTGATAGTGGCCGTGTGGGCCCAGACTTGGGGGACAGGCGGTGCCCGAAGGGGCTGCTCAGGCCTTGTGAGCTTGGGTCTCCCAGCAGGGCAGCGCCCTCGATGACTGACTGAGTCACAAAATGACAAGTAGGCCACAGCACACACACATAGACACAGACATACACATCCCGCAGGTACACCAGGAGCCACCCAGCTGCAGCCGAGCTGGGGGTCTGCCAGGGAGACCCACACAGCTGTCAGGTGCTGACGTGAGGGACTCTGGGTGTCTCTGGCTCCTGCAAAGGCACCAGAAAACGCTACTTCTTTACAGGAAATACAGGAAACCAAACAGAGGAGCAAGTGGCTGAATTACAGAGCCCACCACTCTGTTCCCCTCTGGAGCCAGAGGGGGGCGCAGTGAGCCCAGAGTCTGGTCCTCTCGAGGGTGTGCATGCGCACACACACAGACATGGGACACACCTATGACAATGCGAGGAGGACCCTTCTCTTGGCACATGCACTTTTTGATTTTTGGTTCAAAGACAACACTCCCCAGGGCTCCCACCTGTGGCCCGAGACCAGCCAGCCACAGCGCCGGGCCCAGCACAAGACATCCTGACCCAGCACTGCCCCAGCTCAAGCGCTCCGAGGCAGACAGCTGAAACCTAGCTTTGCCACACATGTCCAAGTCGTTTTTAAATAAAAACAGGAAGATGGCTGCAGGCTGGGATCTCGGTGTCCCGGCAGTGCTGCCGAGTGCAGAGGTTACAGGGGCGCCACCCCAACAGCATCCTTGTGAGGTGCACACTTGACCCAGCTGCTCGTGACAGCGCTTTCTGGCATTTGCATCAGTCCACAAAACGGGATAGAGTCGGGTTAGTATTGTCACGGCCAACGGCATCCTTTATGTCAGAACCACCCAGGGAAGAGCAAAGCACACACACTGTGAGGCCACCAGGAGCCACTATGGTCAGCGAACCACGGTCACGTGGGGAGGGACGACGGCCAGGTCGGCCTTGGACGGGTACACCACCCTCAGGCTGCCCTCCGGGTCCAGCACACGGACCTGCTCCACCACCAGGGGACACGGCCCGTCCTTCTCGCCTTGGGGGCTCCGCTGGGGATCTGGAAGTCGTCTGGAGGCAGTGTTGGGCTCTGTGTCTGAGAGGGACTCTTCCTCTCTGTTCTCTAAGGTGTGCTTGTTCATTTCCGCCATCCTCTGCAAAGGAGAAAGACCTTTTTAACGGGGTGATGTCTGGCGTCCCACAGAGATGGGCTGGGAGCCCCAGGCGGGAGCCGGCGCTCACCAGGACAAGGGCGTCCATGATGTCCTTGCAGACCTGCAGGCTTGTGGCGCTGGTGACCTCCAAGAACAAGTCGCAGGTGCTTTTCTTAATCTTAAACACAAAGAGAGAGATTGCCAAAAGTGGACCTCAAGACGGCAACAGGAAAGTCCTACGGGAAGTGGGGTCACCCCGACCAACACTGCCACCTTCTCAGGAGCGGTGCGGGCTCATGGGTGGCACTCACGGCGCTAGCCGTGCGGGGGACGTCTTTGGAGCACCTGCAGCGCCCTTGTCAGGGACCCCGCCCACCTTCGTCTTCTCACTGTTGGTGATGGGCGGGAACGAGATCACGTCGCCATCTGTGTCCACCAGACACGGGTAGTTCTCCTTACCGTCCAGCAGGTGCAGGTACCTGTGTGGAGGAAATGGATGGCAGGCAGCGGCTGACGGGTGGACGGCTAGGGACGCCAAGGGTAGCACCAGGCACAGGGGTCACATGGAAACCATGCTGGGCTGGGCAGGTACGCCGCCCTCTGTTCATGGTGCCGCCACCCGCCCTCTGGCACCCTAACGAGGCAGCGGTTTGGCTTTTCCTCCTCCTGTCCTCACACTGCTGGCCTCACTGAACAGCCCCCGTGGAGCTAGGCCCAGCGCCCGATGGGCGGTCCAGCAATTCCTCCTGGAGGCGTCTGGCGGAGGGGAGCTGCCACACCCGACGGCTGCCGGCCAGTGGGCCCACCTGTGCAGCCCCGAGACACTCTGCCTCTTCCTCTGCTTCCTCTGCTCCTCGGCCTCCAGCTGCAGCTGCCGCACCAGCTCCTGTGCCTTGGCCTCTTTCCGCCCCAAGGGCACGATCTATAAGGCAGAAATCCAGAGCTGTGCTCGCCTTGCAGCCACACTTCGGCCTGAGCGCTAGGGGCCTCCCAGCCACGTGCAGGTGCCTCTCGGCGGCCTGCGGACCAGGGGACAGGGCGGGAGGCATGGTGGCTGTGGACGGAGACTTCGGGCTGCGTCCCATATGACCACCTGCATGCAGGCTGTCTCCAGGGTTCCCTCTGGGGGCCGAGTGCCAGCTCTTGTGCCCGAGCTGAGCCTCCTCTCAAGCTTGGCCTGGCACAGGGGATCTGAAGTTCTGTGTCCTCAGGAGCCTAGCAGTTATCAACCCCACCTGGCATCGGGACGTGGATCAGAGCGCCCCGACTGCCACCGAGTCCCGAGGAGAAACACCCTGGGGACCCTGCAGGCACAGACAGAGCGGGCAGTGCGCGCGGGCGGGCAGGCGGCACCTTGAGATCCTGGGGTGGCCTGGCCGTGTAGAGCAGGGGCCCTCGCACGCTGCGGAGGTCGTGGGTGGCGATGGTGGCCGCTGTCCTCTTCTCGCAGAGCTCCTCGTGGAGCTTGGTCTGTAACAGGGTGGCAGGAGTGGGCCCCGGCCCGTGGTGCCTGGCGCCCTCCCGCCTCGCCAGCCAGGGGCCCAGCCGGCCATGCTCTCTGATCTGCTTGCGGGCGGGGCTTCTTCCTCTACTTCTAGGAGGCAGCGTTTCAGATTCTGAAGACCCTACCCCGAGGTAAAATTCAGTGAACGAGAAAGGCCTTCAGCGAGAAACAGCGGCCACTTCTCTCCCGACGGACCAAGTCCTAGCTGGGTGCTCTGCCTGTGGACAAAGATGTGCTCCGTATTTTAAAGCTGGGGCGGGCGTCCCGAGAGCCACACAGCCAAGTCAGTCTAACCCAAACCCCAGTGGCTCTCGGAGGAGCGTGCCGCCTGGACCTGCCGCCTCAATACTGCCTGCCGTGAAATTTAAGGTGTGGCTTCTGCAGGAACTGGAAAATCCACCAAACAAGCACCAAATTCCAGGAACCCCAGTTTTCAGGGCACCACAGGCTCCCGCAGCAAACTGTGAAGGCTGTGTGTGGGACCATATGGGACCCGATCCCCAGTTCCCACTTTCAAGTGGGGATACCGAGGCACGCTGGTCTCCCAGCCGGGCCCCAACCTGCACCCCGTCTCCCTGACTTTGGGCCCTAGGACCTGTCCCCAGTGCGTGCCCCCTACCCCGCCCTCGTCCCCTGCGTCTGACAGCCTGAGCCCCACCTGGGAGGACAGGAAGCGCTTGAGCGCGTTCCCTGGCTGCAGGTCCATGCCGCGCACCACGGCGCCCACGATGTATGGCCGCACGTCCTTGACCTCGGGGCTCACTCGGATCGTCAGAGGCGCGGGGTTTTCAGACACATGCAGGACCCTGAGCAGCAGTCTGGCCGCGTCGGCCACCTCCTCCTCTCCCTCGCCGCTCTCCCGCCGCTGCTTCCGCTCCCTCCTCTTCTTCCGTGTGTCCTCCTTCTCAGGGCCCTCGGCCCGGGCGCGGGCCCGGGAGCCCCGGCCCCCAACGCGCAGGTACTCCAGGATGGACCGGGTCTGGCAGCCGCCCACCATCTTCTCCAGGCGCTTGTCCCGCAGTTTATTTCCCCGGAAGTTGATCTCCTTGAGCCTGGGGCAGTCAGCCAGCTCGGCGGGGATCTCGCTCAGCTGATTGTTGGAGAGGTCCAGGGTCTGGGAAGAGACAGCAGGGGAGGTCAGGGGACTGGAGGCGACCCCTGGGGGCTGGGGCAGGCAGACTGCTCGGTGTCTGCTGGCGAGCTCTGGGGCGCTGCAGCTGCTCTGCCAAGTCCCCCCTCTCGCTGAGTCAGCCCCTTGACAAGGACGGAACCTCCCAAGGCAATGGGGCCCACCCAAGGGGCTTCTCCCCAGACAGTGACCCCTAGCCTCTCATGGGACGTACACGTCTTGCTCTTACTGCTGGGTCACAGGCAAGGCACGAGCTCCCGGCAGCTGTCACCCGTGGGAGGGGAGGGGTCTTGGCTGCTGGCTGTGCACCTGCTGTCCCTGAGGCCTCGGTGTGATGGGTGAGCCTGACAGGAAGTGGGGAGCCTCTGGCTGGGTGAGGAATCAGGAATTGAGCAGGCGTGCTGGGCCCCCACGCCTAGCTGGATAAGCTGCTGGGCGCCCCCCACCACAGGAGTACCAAACACCTGGCCCTTGGGCAGTGGCTCCATGAGGTTTTGCCTGGACCCCAATGTACACAGGACATGCTGGGAGAAGACCCCAACTTTGTGGCTAGGAGGGGCAGACACAAAACATGGGAGGTGCAGAAAGGACTTCCTCTGGGCAGCAGTGGCCTGACACTGTCCCCAGCGACTAAGGACATCAGAAAGCCTGGGAAGCACTTACCCGTTTTGCTTTCTTTTGTTGGAGTATAACCTCAGAGTTTGAATTTTATAACTGATATATATTACCAACATGTATTAGTAAAAGTTAAAAAATCAAATAGGAAGATGAATTTCTCAGTGGAGAAAACAGTCCCAGTATGAGCTACGGACAAAGGCCAGTCCCAGGGCCCCAGAGAGACCCTGACATGGAGCCTCTGCCAGCTAAGGTACTGCCCTAGTCACTCTGGAAGTCCTAGGTGGGCAGTACCTCGTGTCTGTATGTTGGCCACTTTCGATGCAGGCAGGAGGGACACGATAACTGTGCCCAGAGAGTCACAGAACCCTGAGAAGAAGAGGGTAAAGTCTGCCCTAGGTGCTACAGGTCTCCTCAGGAGGGCAGCAAGGTAAACAGATGCAAGGCTGGGGCAATGAAGCCAAGTCCTCTGATAGGTGAAGGCCATCAAGTGCCTCGGTTCCCTGTCCCCAGTGGCTGACCTCTGGGTGAGGTCAGATCAGGGCTTCACACTGCACAATTAGAAGCTAAGCCTGGTAGCAGCCTCTGGAGAGTGGGCTCGGCCTGGGGCCCGGGCCCTGCCTCTCCGGTCTGGGAGATGAATGAACCAGCAGAGGCCTCTGTGCTGTTCCTCTGGTTCCTGAGCAAGCCTACCTCCTGAGGTCCACAGCCCGGTCAGTGTCTCCTGTCTGGACTGGGCTTTCTCCATTTGTTTAACTGGCAGAATTCAGGGAGGTGCAGGACGTAGCTCTAGACCTCAGCCTTAAGGCCTGGTGGCTGCCGGTTCCATAGAAGGAGCCCTGAGCCGTTTGAGGCGGCGAGATGAGCAGCCAGTAGCCAGCTGAACACAGCCACCTGGGAGACCATCAGCACAAGCAGATCTGCCAGCTGAGTCAGTAGGCATCGGCTGTTGGTGAAAAGTGCGCACCTGTCTGTCGTATCATGAAAGTCACTGTGTTAAGATGCACACTTGGCCCATCAAACTTCTGGAAAACCAAAAAATCTACCAGATGGAAAGACAGAGCACACAGTGTCTATGTTGTGTGTCACATGTTAGCTGTACAGGGATGCCTAAGCCCCAGAAGTCCAAGGCACCCGAGGAGTCACACCCTGAGCCTCTGCTAGGAATCTGCAGCAAGGCACCTGTCAATTCTGCAGAACGCCTTTCCTGTTTCTCCCAACTATACACAAATAAGTAACCTTGCTATATAAACACCTGCACAAAATCAGATGCCTGATGTCAAGAATAATGGACGGCAAATTCAGTTACTAGACTGTGTGCGGATTTATTATGAAATGTCTACATGAACTCTAGAGTGAGAAGCAGGGAACAGCAGCGCCCGGCCGCCTTGCTTGGATGATCCATAGTGAACACTGCGTCAGGACGCAGCTCCTCCTACCCCTCAACAGGTTTCATGGGCTCCTGACTGTGCCCCGCAGTAAGCTGGGGCCCGAGGGTCTCTCCCGTGCAGGCTGGGGGAACCCCAAAGCGCGCACTGTGCCACAGAAGCCTCCCCCACATCATTAGGCAGCGAAACACCAAGCAGGAAACCCATCACGTGGCGTCGCGCGAACTCCACTCCTTCAATCGATTCATACATGCTAAGGACCAGACGCTGGTGTCTGGATTGTAATCAACGTGGAAGCCAAGTTTGCTAACAGCTAAGAAGCAGCAAGCGAGTTGAGGAACCCCTGGGTCGGGCACAGACGCCTCAAGGCTCAGCGCCCCGAGTCTCGGCGGGCTCCCCCACTTGCCCCGGGCCGGCCCCAGCTGACCTTGAGCGAGGCCAGGTGCGCGATGTCAGGGCTGAGCTCGCGCAGGCGGTTGTCGGCGGCCGCCAGTTCGCTGAGCAGAGGCAGCGCGCCGGGGCGGAAGAGCGTGTCCGGGAAGGCGTCCAGGAGGTTGCCGGTGAGATTAAGGCTCTGCAGGCGTGGGGCGCAGCGCGCCAGGTCGGCGGGCAGCTCGCGCAGTCGATTGCCGCTGAGGTTGAGGCTCTGCAGCTGTGGGAGACCCGGCGGCTCGGCGGGGCCTAGGCCCTGGCCGGGGGGCAGCGCCTCAAGCTCATTGCCGGAGAGATCGAGCACGCGCAGCGCCGGCAGTGGCCCTAGCTCGGGGCTCAGGCCGGGCCCCAGTGCGTTGCGCCGTAGCACCAGGCTGTGCAACTGGGGCAGGCCCTGTGCCAGGCCCGGCCCTGGCGCGCGCAGGCTGCCGCAGCCGCTCACCTCTAGGTAGTGCAGCAGCGGCAGTGTGAAGAGCCGCGGCGGCAGGCACCCACCCGCCGCCCGCACCCGCTCCTCCAGCCCGGGCCCCGTCAGTAGCAGCTCGCGCCGCCGCTCGCGCTCAGCCAGTTCAAGCTCCGGCCAGGCCTCGGACACTGCAGCCACCGCCATCGTGCCACCACCCCCCGCGCCGGACTTCCGTGACTCTGCACATGACTTCCGGCCTGCACCGGAAGAGGCCATAGAAAGGGCGCTCGGTCGCTAGATAGTCGCGTGCGTGTCGTAAAGAAGCGGGTCCAGAAGGTTGCCTAGAGCGTCGGCGCGCTATGGTTTGTGGGGCGTGGGCGGGCTGAGTCGCGGGTCCACACTTCCGGGTGTGCTGTGTCTGCGGCTGAGCCTTTCGGGCGTTGCTGCCCGGTGTATGTATTTAGTGCCTACCAAGGAGCCACCTTCAGGGTTAGGCCTGCTCTTGAGACCAGTAGGCTGCTCCGAGGACAGCGTGACTTGCTCTGGGGCTCGGACACAGGCGAGGCTGTGGCTCAGTCTTCCTTTCGTGGTCACTGGCTCTGCTCCCAGCTGTGCCGGGCTTGGGCGCTGAGCCTTTAGGCCAGGGTTGCACCCGGAGTTCGTGGCCCTTCTCTGAAGAAAGGGCCTGGCAGGTGGCCGATGCTGGGCGCGGGTCGGCTCTATCTGGCTGCAGGAATTTGCTGCCGAGGGTGCAGTGCGCGCAGTCAGCGCCGGAGCAAAGCGAGCCGATCAGGTGGGCGAGGGCCGCTGGCTCAGAGAGGCTCAGCTTTCGCCGCTGCTTTTTCTCCTCCGCAACTGAGTGTCCAGGGCTTGGCTCCATCTGGGCTGAAGACCGTCCTGTCGGTCTCTGGGGCGGATTTCCGACTACCGTCTACCCTCGCCGGCCAGCGCCTCGGTCACCTTCCAGAGCTGTGGGCGACGTGGGGACCTTGCGTGTATGTTTTTCCCCAGCCCTGGTCCTGGCCCCTGGGGCTGGGAGGTCAGGTCCAGTTTCTGGGGTGACCCAGCTGTGCCTGACTGTGGGTTCTGAGTTCTGCCCTGCAGGCCCTGTGCTCACCTGTTGAGCAGGATTTGGTGAATGGGACTCTCCAGGGCTCCTCACCCATACCTTAAGGAGCGCTGGGTTGTGTGGAGGGGTATAGGAGGACGCCCTGTCCTGGACCCTCAGGACGAGTGAGGTGTGTCGGTGGGTTGGGGAGGGGCCTGATGCCTCATTCTTGTACAGCAGAGGTAGCCCTGAGAACCCCAGAGCTGGTCCTAGTGGGCAGTGGGGCCCGCCTGCCTCAGGGGAGCCTTGGTCCCCATTCAGAAGTTGCTGGTAGGATGGCTGCTGGCCCAGGATACAGGGGGCCCGTGGGACTGGGGTCCTCCGATGGGAGAAGTGCTGAGGCCGACTGGAGGAGGCAGATAGCGCTGAGCCAGGAGAGGGGGGTCAGACGTAATGCCCCCAAGTGCTTCTGTGCCATTTCCTATCCGTAGTAGGCTGCAGGCTGGGGCTATCCCTGGGACTCAGTCAGCCCTTGAACCCGTGCTCATTTGGGATCCAGCAGCCAGCCTCCCCGCGCAGATGCGACCTTTTCTTTGCTAAGTAAGCACCCTGCCTTGGTGGGTTCAGCCCGCACTGCCCCTTATGCAGAGCTTTTCCCCGGTGCTGCTCTCTACCACCCATGACTCCTGCCACACAGGGGCCCGGGACTCTGAAGGTGGCTGGCCGAAGAATGACAGCAGCCCAAGAGCTGATGGCCCCTCATGGCCAGCTCTGAGCAGCATGGAGGTGGTGGACACCGCAGGAGCAGACAGCTCTGGCACGGGCATTTAGAGCCACACCTTTTCTACACAAAGGGGGCTCCTGGTGGCATCTGGAAGCCAGCCCAGGCGCCTCTCTGCTGGGCACCCTGAAGGAGAGGGCAGATGACTTGCACGCTGCCTTTGACTGACAGTGCCCTCGCATAGCTGGACTGGAACATTCTGCATGTGCGGTGGAGGACACTGGTGGGAGCCTGTCACTCCAGCAGTGGCAGTGTAGGTGTGGGTGCCCCGCCAGCTTGCAGCCTGCTTTGTGGGTCCCGTACTAAGGTCTGCATGCAGTCAGAGTGTCAGTGATTTACAAACTGTTTAATTATGAAATAAATGATGAAATACATAGTGATCTTTTTATTATATTAATATATTCAAGGTGAATTAACCCACATGCCCTAAAATAGCAACAATAAAAATATATTACTTTATAATTCTGGAACCCGAAATAAAAGACAAATAGAAAACTATGTTAAACGTTAGAAAGTTGCTAATTGTCAGTAAAAGGTATTTACATTTGTGTTCTAATGCAAATTTACCAATATAGCTCTTGTAGATTATCTTAAAATAGGAAAATAAATATTAAATACCCACAACATAATCATAAATGAAAACTCATTTATTTGTTAGTGTTCCAAGCTTAGATGTTTAGTCCTGAGTGGCCAAGGGGTCCTCCGGTGCCTCTGGGGTCCTTGTGCGTCCCTCTTGGTCTCTGGAGCAGCCACTAATCACTGCCACCAAAACTGGACTCTCTGGGAACCAGCACAAGAATTAGGTGGGAGACCAATTTTGTTTGTTGATCACTAAGAATTTTTTGAGACAGGGTCTCACTATGTAGCTCAGGCTGGCCTTGAACTCAGATCCTCCTGCCTCAGCTGCCCAAAGGCTGAGAGTACAGGCGTGTGCCAGCATGCCTAAAAGGGGATTTTTATTAAGTTCAAACAGGAGAGACTATACATCTATTAAATTTGGCCTGCAGAGAAAAGAATAATTTCTTGATTAACTTTCCTCATTATTGTTTTATTAAGTGCTTTCTCTGTTCTTAAAAGATGCATCAGAAATACTGGCCAGCCCCCTTGGAAGCGGACCAGCACTGCAGACCCCCTGGCCTCTGCGCTCCGCCTTGTCTGAGTTAGGTCACCTCCCTCCCCATGGTTTTTGATAGGTTATTGTCTTGGAAGGTCTTGTTCTTCCTCAGCCACACCATGAGGTATTAGTTTGCCAAAAGCAGAGGTTAATTCATCAGCCTCTTGGTTGCCGGCACATCCGGGGAGCTCACTGTTTGTGCACCTATGAGGATCTCTGAGACAGTCTCGCCATGTAGTTCAAGCTGGCCTCGAACTCATCACATAGCCTGGGTTGGCCTCCAGCTCCTATCAGTTCTGTGTGGACTTCGTTGTTCCACATGGTTGGGTTAAAAGCCTTCGTACAGGAACTGCAGAGGAGCAGGTCCCTGTCCCACACACTTCTGAGTGCATTTGGAAAGCTGCCCGTGCAGCCTCAGGGTGCAAGCAGCACCCTGGCTGCATGTGGTGGCCTGTCCCCAGCACACGGCTGCCCATGCCTGGGCAGCGATGGCACGGGATGGGCCTTTCCAGCTGCGCAGTGGGTAGAGCTCATCTTTCTGGTCGCCAGGGAAACCCTGGGGCCTGCTGGCCTGGGAGATGCTGTCCTGAGGTCTGGGTCAGGTCGGAGGCAGCATCTGGTGTGAACATCCCGCAAACTGTGAAAATCCGGACCTGGGGTTCACTACAGCATTGGGGAGCAAGGACAGCGTGACAGACCTGAGCAGGCCCGACTGGCAGGAGGTGTCCAGTGCCAGGATGACGCCTGCAGGCAGGCTCTGAGGTGGGGGCAGGGATCCAGGCGTGTTACCCCGCGTACTCTCCAGGGCTTGGCCGGTGAGCGGTCCTGAGCCCTGAGGCAGGGCGCAGGCTCACATCTGGGGCGGCTACCGGCAGCTGACGTTTGTCACGGCTCCTTGGTCAGCCTCTGCCTTTACCCTGGCCGTCTGCACCCTGGTCCTCCTGAGGCCACAGGGGCTGAGCCCGAGGCCTCGCGGTGCGGGTGGGGAGCGCTGCTCCGGGTTCTTTGGTCAGAGCTGTGATGCCTTTCAGAGAGGGCAGAGCAGAGCCCAGCACGCGGCTGCATGTCTGGTTCTCTGGAGGGCGGGCTTGGAGTTAGGACACTGGCCTGTACCCGACAGAGACGACGTCACTGTGTCACCGCCTACAGTAAGTCCTGCTGGAGCTCTTGCTCAGGCCTCCCTTTGGGGTGGGGATTTTGCTGCTGGCCTTCAGTCCTGACCTGGCCGCTGTGGGGCCTTTACCTGTGACAGGGACACAGACAAATGGACTCAGAGACCAGGCCTAGGTGACTGTGGGGGATCCTTGGCCGTCGGGCTGGCAGCGTTGGCACAGGGGGCAGCGGTTGCGGTGCACAGTCACTGCTGTGAAGAGCGTCAGCCACGGTTGGGGCAGCCGTGTGGCCGCCGAAGGGGAAGGCAGACAGGCCGGCTGGCACTTGGGCCGCTCTGCACCGGGGCAGCATGCTGTAGGGGAGCACAGGACGGCCCCCCACGTGGCCCAGGGCCTGTCCTGCTTCTGTAAGACTTGGGCCAAGGATGGTGTCTGCCACGTGACTTGGGCTGCAGACCAAGCCCTGCTGGTCACTGTGACCTGTGATGATTTCTACTGATGAACACTGCGCCTTCTCCTAGGGTGCTGTGACCTCAAGAGGAAGCAGCTGGACCAGCGATCTGTCTACTGGACAGTGGCTTCACCAGGGGTCTGCTCAGCTTTGCTTCCCTCAACCCCTGGATCCACCCTGCAGAAAGTGTGCAGCCCACGCAGCGCCTCGGGGTGCTGCCACAGTGTGGAGCCAGGCCATGGGGCACGGGGGTGCTGGGGCTGCTGGGGCTGCGAGCGGCTCACCGTGAGGCGGTGCCTGGGCCTTGGAAAGGACGTGCGTCTTGCGAAGGTTCATGGTGCAGCCGGCGGGACCCATCAGGTGCGCCTTCCAGGCCTGCAGCATAGGGGTAGCGTGGTCAGTGCAGTGTGGCACCTCGGGCTGCAGAGGACGCCCTCAGCCTGACCAGGGTCCCTGCGGTGCTTTCCACAGACCCCACGAGGCCACTTCGGTGAGCACTTGAGGGCGAGACCCAGGAGCAGCCGTGGTGCCGAGGGAACCCTTGGAACTGACTCACTCTGCAGACTCTGCAAGTCCCTGACTGCTTGGACAGGCCACTACTGGACACCCCGACCTCGGTGTGCCTTGGCTGTGTCACCACTGTCCCCTAAGGGGGCCAGACTGCTCCCCGGCTGGATCAGGCCCCTCACCTCTTCTCCAGGAGCGAAATTCTCATGGCACAACGGACACCGGTTCGCCAGCTTCTCGGACTTGGCGGCTGAAATGGTGGTGAAAAGGACCCAGTTACCGTGTGCCTGTGAGTGCGAGGAGGGACAGGCCGCGGGCACGCCCCAGCACGCCACTGACGCCGCAGCAGCACCTGTCCTGGGCCCGGGAGGCACTCACGGCTGCAGGCCTTGGCCTGTATGTGTCGGGGCAGCTCCTCTTTGGGTATGGCCTCGCGGCAGCGGTAGCACCTCCTGAAGGTGTCTCTGCTGTCGCACTCGGTCAGCAGGTGCTCGGTCAGGCTGGCGATCTCCACCACCTGCAGCCCAGACACAGAGGTGGCGCGGTGTGAGCACAGTGTTCTCTCATGCCCGCTTGGCCACGTGATGGCTGGTCCTCAGGGCCCCTCCTGGTGTCTGTGGTCACTTCCTGCGCTCTGCACCACCCAAAGGCCACATTAGGAGGCAGAGGCAGGCAGGATTGCAGGTGACTTGGACGTAAGCGGTGTAATATTAGTGGCCAGGTGTGGCTTGGGCATTCAATGTGCAGCCCTGGGTTCACAGAAAGAAGCCTCTGGGCCCTTTTGCATCCTGGCAGGAGTGATTTGTGCTGGGAGGCTCTGTCCACCCGAAGAACCCCGGGAAGGAAAGGAGTCTGCTGTGCCCTAGCTTCCCTGCCCTGACTGGAAGGACCCAGTGCACGATGCTCAGGGTGCATTAGACCTGGGAACCTGGGCCTGGGATACCGGTGAGGGACAAGGGACATTAGAAAGCCGCTTCTCAGAAGCCTGGGGAGGGCCTGCCGGGGCGGGGGTGTGGGCAGGGGCAGATGGGCCCCCACCAGTGATGCACAGGGTGCCTGTCCCAGTGTGTAGGTGACAAGCTGGGATGGCCTGCACTGCCCGGTGCAACGGGCACAAGTGCGGGACAGCCCGTCCACACAGGAGGGACCGGCGGGGCTCCAGCCAGGCCACATGGTGACGCATGCTCGGCCTGCTTGGCCCTCCTGGCCGGTGGGCGCCCGAGACAGCGCCTGACCTGCCTGCAGTGGCCGCAGCGCGTCAGCATGAGGCAGTGCTTCCAGTAGTGCAGGTCGAGGCCCTCCTCCGTGAAGGCCTCACTCCGCTCCCCGCAGAAGATGCAGAGGCTGTGGGGAAGCGGGAAGCAGAGGTGGCGGTGATTCCCGAGGACCTCAGCGCCTACCCCCTCCAGCGCACAGGACAGATCCAGACCCCACCCCGCAGGCGGCCTGGCCTAGCAGGCACAGCGCTCCCGGGCTCTGGCAGCAGCTTGTCCACACAGCAGGCTCCTCGGCCTGGGCGCCTTCCGGGTCTGGATTGTGGAGGGGACCATCCACCACTGGTCCTGGGACTCGGGGACACACCTCTGCCCAGTGCCCCTCAGTGGCTCCCCCATCAGGACTGGGCCAGCCTGACTCACTTGTCCAGGAAGTGGCTGTCTGGGACGTCTGGTGGCGCCGCTTTCCTGCCCGGGCTGTCTGCAGAGGCAGAGAGGTGGGTTCAGGGACTCCCTGTGGAAGAGCTTAGGCTTTTAGGGGAAGCAGGGGCTGGGGGCGCGGTGGACCTACCCTGGTGCCTGGGCTTCTCCGTGTCGCTGACGTTTCCCTACGGCAGAGACAGGCAGCTCAGGGACAGTGCTGTGGGCTGGGTGTCTGTGTGTGTGTGGGTGTGCCCTGCCCTGCCAGTGTCTCTAGGTGTCCCAAACTGCTTGTAAGAGGCCACTAGCACTCGCTGCGCTTGACCTCTCCATAGTGTCCAAGCCTCAGAGCCACTGCCACAGAGACTGGTGCCCCAGGCCACCACCCAGACTCCTCCAGCACGGGTCCCTGTGGGCACTGTCCCTGCAGCAGGACCTGCATGTGTGCTGTGAGGGGCGGCAGTGACAGCTGCTAGGGCTTGTGACCCACATGAGCCCTGCCAGGTATTGCCCGCGTGTCCTTGCCAGTGAGCCATCGGCACAGGGCTGAGCCTGTGCACCCGGCAGCATGCTGCTGAGTGGGGCCAGGCAGAAGGATTGGCAGCCCGGGGCCCACCGTCCGGTCTCCTCCCTGGCATCCTCCCCACTTCTCCCACGGGACCCACAGCTCAAGTAGCAGCGGCCACATACAGTAGGATGCAGGGCACTCGGCCTCCCCCAGAGGACACCCTGCCCTCTGCCCCTGCCCAGCGTGAGGGATGGCGGGGAGCAGCTGCAGTGGGGGGTGCACTGCTGGCCACTGCCAGCCAGGGCAAAGACCGTGAAGGGTGAGGACACGGCCGCCCAGAGGCAGGGCCTGCGCCTGTGTGGACTCAGCCTGCATGGCCTCCCCACCTCGGCCACGGCCTGGGTTTCCTTCAGAGCCGCCAGCTGCCCCTGCAAGGCCTTGATTTCTTCTTTCTTCTGTTTTTCTGCTTCTTCGGTAGCTGCTCTTTTCTGTGCCTGGCAAAAAAACAAAAAAAGAGTCACTGTGCCATTAGACCAGTTGTCTCAGACGTGGGGGGACAAGTTACCACATGTAAATGTTGCTTTCTCACATGCCGCACTGAGCCCTGGGCCGGCAGCCATGCTCCTCAGGTGCAGGTAACGAGTGTTTACTGCTGGGACGGGCGGGAAGGGGCAGGGCAGGATCTGAACCTGGGGTCTGACAGCCGCCTTCGGGGCTCCCCGGGGCACAGGGCCCTGATGTGCTCGGTGCTCACCCAGGTGCCAGGCTCCCCCCTCACCCTGATCTCCGCGTGGCTGGGTCTGCCATCGATCCTGGCGAAGCCCTCGAAGATGGTCTTGTAGAGGAGGTTCCTGCGCATGCCGCTGTCGTCGGGGGGCAGGTACTCCAGGACGAGCGCCTGGTGCCGCGTGTACATGTCCAGGATGACCCTGACGGCTGTCTCCCGGACCTCGTACACCCTGTGCTCCAGGGCGCGCACGGCGAACTGAGGACACAGTGGGAAGGCGTCTCCTTAGCAGGCGCATCGCACACGTTTGAAAAATGAGAGAAAAGCAGCAGCGCCAGCGCCAGGTCCCACGGCTGGAGACCCAGCTCCCCGCCTGGTCACTGCGCAGTGGCCTCTGCCGCGCGTCACCTGCTCTGCTTTCTCCTGGTGCGCACACGGCCCAGCTGCACCGCTCTTCCCAAGCCGGGCCTGCTGCGGACCCGGACGAGGGAGTCGGAGGAAGGCGCTTGGCGCTGCAGCCTCCCAAGCTCAATGTGCTCACCTGTCCGTGTGGACTTGAAGGACGGAGCCCAAGTGACCCACAGAGCGAGGCACCCCCGGCCTCGCAAACACCCTGGCCCTTGGTGAGGGAGTGGTCGGCTGCTCTGTGCCCCAGCGCTCGCAGCAGTCCAGGCTGACCCTGGGGCATGCGTGCCAGGACAGGGAAGGGACCCAGGCCGCTGTGGCCACAGGGTCAGCGGGGGAGGACAGTGACACTGCCGCACACCAGCCAAGTGGCCCTCTGTGCCGGGGGAACCGGAGGGGCTCCAGGGTCGGGATGGCGTGCTCAGAGGGGGCTCCCTCGGGGGAGGGCGGTGGCTGTGCTGCTCTCCACTCCCTGCAGCCACGGATGGTGCAGTGTCCCGTGGCTCGGGCCGCAGCGCCCTCGTGTTAGCCTGAGCGGGGATGATTGCTGCTTTTCCTTTGGGGAGTTCAGGCCGCCCTGGACTCTCTATGTAGCCCAGGCCGGCCTCACACTCACAGCAACCCTCCTATGGGTTGGCCGTGGCCCGGCTGGATTTCTCTTAACCGGCCCCCGAGGCACACCCCAAGGAGACGCAGCCTGCGCCCTCACCTTCATCACGCTGTCCACGGTGAAGCCCGAGCCCTCGGTGCCGAGGTCTCGCAGCAGCCGGGCCAGGAGGTCCACCTGACTCATGGCCAGGTGCGCCGAGCAGTTGGCTTTCAGGGGCTGCACCAAGTAGGCCGGGACCAGCTGCAGCGCGCGGACCTCCTTACACAGGGCCATTTCCTGCGCACAGCAAGGTGGCCGTGAGTTCCCAGCGGGAACGCGAGGGCTGGCTCGGGCCGGCTCAGCCGCACCCGCGGGGTCCACGGGAAACACTGAAGACACAGTGGCAGTGACAGCTGCGGCAGAACGGCGGTGCCTGTACTGCTTTTCCCCGCTGGCTCTGAGGCACGGCCTCAGCGTGTAGTTTAGGTTGGACTTGGACTCTACGTAGCCCAGGCTGGCCTGGACCTCCTCATGATCCCCCTGCCTCAGCCTCCCGAGTGCTGGGGTTACAGGCCAGTGCCACCACCTCAGCTCTTCTTTCTATTTAAAGACTACAACGATTAGAAAGGAAGATCCGACATGTAGGAGCTGAGGTCTTTTGGAAGAGGACATCTTCTCAAACACTAAGCTACACCGCCCAGCGGAACATGGCAGCACGTGGGGACGCACTGTTCTTTCCTTCCTATCAGTGTGGCCGACTTTTCCTAGTTCATTTAAGGTTTCAGAATACTTAAGTCTCTTAAGCTACACTGGGGTTCTCCTGGGTTTGCAAGCGTCACCCTCTGAGAAGCAATGAAAGCGTGCATGTGCACACTCACAAAGTTCTTTGTGACTCTTAAGGAGGTTATGGATTTTTGGAAGCCAAAATGTGGAGCCTTAAGAAAGACTGAATCACTGAGGATTTGGCTCAGCAGTTCAGGGGCTGCCTGGCAAGCACAAGATCCTGAGTTTGATTTCCTGTACCATTTAAAAAACAGGAGAGAGCGAGGGTATAGCAGCCATGCCCGTTCCAGCGAGGGTATAGCAGCCATGCCCGTTCCAGCTACTCAGGAGGCTGAGGCAGGAGGGTTACAAACTTCAAGGTCAGCCTGGGAAACTTAGCAAGAGCTCATCTCCAAAAGGAATGGGGGTGCAGCTCAGTGGCACGGCGCTCAGCCTTACAAAGGAAACAAAACCAAACCAAACCGCCTAAACTAGATGAATTCACTCGCTAATTCAGAGAACAAATTCATTCTCACAAGACTGTTGCGATCCAAACTGTGCTCGGTTTCCCAGCCTCGCCCAGGACTCACACATGCTCCCTGCACCCCAGCACTCTCTCTCCACACGTTCCCAGGCCTCTTCCCTAACAGCATATGCTGGACGCCAGGAGCAGTGAAGGACCAACTGCGCTCTGAGCAGCGTTTCTGTGAGGACAGAGCCACGGGGCGCAGGACTGCGGAAGAGCAGGAGGGGGCGCGGACCTGAATGAAGTTGCAGGCGGCCACGCGGAGGCGCGAGGAGGAGTCACCGGTCCTGGCGAGCAGCGAGGGCAGGGTCCGCTCCACGCAGTGCGCCGTTTCCAGCTTGCCCAGCTTGTGCTTGGGGATGTACTGGGTGAGAAGCATCTTCAACAGCTTCAGACAGGCGTGGAAGACCTGGGGGCGGATGCAGAGTGAGCGGTGCAAGCCAGAGGCCATGGAGGGCAGGTGTGAGGGTCACTGCTGGAGACGCGTGAGAATATCACGCCGTGGGGCGGCAGAGAGCCAGGCTGAGAGCCGTGCTCAGCTGTCCTGGTGCGCGGCGGGGTCCTGGCTGCCGCTGCACTGGCACAAGCCAGGCTGAGGCTGAGGCCACAGGAAACTGTGGCTGCCACGGGGCGGGAAGCGAGGCCTCTGCACAGCCCCAGCTGGACACAGGGACGACTGGTGGCAGAGGGGGAACAGGCACAGGCAGCTCCCACGTTGCTTGCCCTCGGTCTTGGCTCTCCCGGAGCCGGAGCTGGGGGCTGCACCCCACACTGGGCCGCCCTCAGTGCTCCAGGCTCCCGCAGAGTGGCAGGTGCCTGGGCCAGCAGGTGGGGACTCACTGAGGTCACGATGTCCTTGATGGCTCTGCGGATGAGAAAGACAGAAGCGCGGAGCATGTTCTTCGCGTCCTCCTTCGGGGTCCCGGCAGGCATCTCCATCAGCTTTCTGTACAGGGCCAGCAGCGCGTCCTCGCGGCAGGACCAGGTCTTGGAATAGGCCCCGGCGACCTGTGCGGAACGGGAGTGGCCGTAGTCTGGAGGCAGCACCATGCAGCTCACAGGTGGAGCTTTTTGTTACTGGGACTGGAACGCACAAGCTAAGGCTGTCAGGGCAGGTGCTGAGCCCCTGAGCTAGGTCTCCTGCTTTTTTTTTTTTCAGTCTGGCCTCAAACTCACAGCGATTCTCCTGTCTCAGCTTCCAGAGGGCTAGGATTATAGGCGCACGCCTGCTTTGTATTTTAGAAGGAAGAAAACCCTTGTTAGTGACAGGGCCTCTGCAGGATAAATGTGTGCACTTAGACGATTCTCTGAGGGAAAACGTCAGGCTGTGGTAAACACGGAGCAGGACTGAAAACGTCACTGTGGGGACACTGTGAGGCCAAGGCTGGACCTGGCCGGCGCGTGGGGCGGGGCGTCAGCATGCACCTGGAAAGCCTGCGGGTCTCACGTGGATCTGCTCCCCTACAGCGTGATCTTGCTTTGAGTATCACAATTAACGTGGGGCTTCCTGACGGGGAGCCACGGGCAGAGCGAAACCCGCAGGCTTGGTGTGTGTGCGGGCTTCTCACCAAGGTCTCTCCCAGCGCGTCGATGGCAGCGCTGGCCTCCCGCAGGGCCTTCTCCGTCAGGGCCTCAGGCTGCCCAGCAAGGCCTCCTCTCCGGGCATCGCTGGCATCAGCTTCACTTGCTTCCGGCTCTGCCAGGGCATTCTCGGGCTGCTTGCGGGCGGCGGGCAGCGGCCGCTCGTCATAGGGCAGGGCCTCAGCCTGCAGGGCGGGAGAGGACGGGGCTGTGGGGTTGGGCCGGGCCCCGCTGTCACCCTTGCCACGGCCTCGGCTCTCCGGGGTGGAGGGACCTCTGAGGGGGCTCGAGGCTCGGCCCCAGCACCGGCTTGCTGGACTGACTCACAGGAGTGGCACGGAGGTGGAGGAGACCAGCCCATTGCTGACCTTGCCCAGAGCGAACACAGGAGCATGGTGGACAGCTGCGGGATGGCCACCAGGCAACTGTTTCCTAGTTACTGTCCCCACACCGGGACACGGAAATAGATGGTGAAAGGCAAGGTTGTCGTCTTCTCTGACAAAATCACTGCTGATTTCTTAGCTTACTACTCCGCCCCAGCTGCTGTAAACCTGTCCAGTGTGTGGTGGCCTCTGATTCAACGCAGGTCTGGCGCCGGTGAGGCTACAGATGGATGCAGGCGTCCCTGGGGGCAGCACCACCTGGGCGGCCGCTGCAGGTCCCTCCTTGCTCCCGGCTGTCACTGCAGAGGGCTGCTGTGCATGGGACTCAGGCTGATCAAGCTGGGGGAACCCGAGGCCTGCAGCCTATAGTGAGTGCCAAGTGTGCCCCCCTCACTCGTCACCGTTACGGTCACCAGCCCAGGTGGCAGGAACCCAGAGGAGGAGTCGAACATAGGCAAGAACCTAGGCTTCTGACCACACCATCAAGCTACCAAATCAAATGGACCCTGGACCCAGCCCTGCTATGGGCCCAGTGACAGCAGCCAACAAACCCTGCTGCAGTTGGGTTCCCGTGCCCTCAGCCGGGAGTGTGACGGCCCTGCCCCATCAGCCATCATTGAGGCACTCTGTGCCCGGGCCCCAAGCCAGCATTTACTGCGTTCTCTTATCACTCGAAACCAGGTGTCAAGCAGCTGCTTCGTGTTTTTATGGAGCAAAACAGGCTCAGAATGCCATGGGGCCTCATGTTTGGGTAGCTGCTCCAGCCTGGGGTCTGCCTCCCCTCCTGGATGTGGGGAGGAGCACTGGCTGCATAGGACCCATGTGTCCATGCTCTGGGTCAGCAATGGGCAACACAGGTCCCTATCAAGTACCCACTGCCCGCCACATGTGCTTGAACGGTCACCTACAGTGCTCTGCAGGGCGGGCCCTGGGGCTGGTGGTGGCTGGTCTGCTGCCGAGCACTTCGGAGCGGGGCTCAGGGTGTAGGACACTGGCTGCTCCGGCAGGAGAGGCTCCCCAAGCTGGTTTTCCAGAACTGTGTCTTCTGGCTGTGGGAGTGAGGGCACCGGCTTGCGGCAGCGGGGACTGCTGGCATGGGCCAGGGGCTGGAGGGGCAGGTTGAGAGGCCTTTGCACCTGCAGAAGGCAGGGGACAGCAGCTGAGCACCAAGGCCAGGGCCACCTCACCCCACACAAATGACAGGAGGCGGCCCCACGGGGAGAGTGCGACAACCAGCGCTTGGGCTACGAGTATGGGCCACACTCAGCTGCTGCCTTGTGTACGGCGGACACAGGTCCAGTGTGAGCTCGGCGCTGTGCACACAGGCTGCCCCCGGGCTGCCTCTGTGTGCAGCGCCAGGGCTGCCCCTCGGGTGTGCGGCCAAGTGATCCCGGCACCCTAATGGGTGGACCCGTCTGGCGTCACCAAGCCCGGTGTGACACGCAGGGCCCAGGCAGGAGCTCCTGGGTGTCCGCAGTGGCTGTCCTGCGAGGTGCAGTGATCCCAGGTAGGATGCCCTCCTGAGCCCCGAGCTCCCTCTCCCAGCCAGGGGACAGGGACAGAGGACAGGGCAGTGCCCGACCTTCCCAGCCCGAAGCCCGCAGTGATCCTGTCAGGGCACGGGCAGAACCAGCCTGCTGCCCTAGAACTGAGCGTGATCCCGTGCCTGTGGCTGCCCTGACCTCTGACTCGCCCTGCAGGAGGCCGTGCAGTGCCAGCTGCTCGTACACCTGGGCCCGGTAGTGCGCCATCTGCTGCTTCTTCTCCTTGGCGAGGTCGTAGTCCTCCTTCTCTACTGCACAGCGCTTCTCTACCTCGTACCGCCCCAGGCGCTCACCGACCTGCAGCACAGACGCGTGTGGCCTTTGGTTGGCGTCACCTGCTCGTCTGGTGACCCTGAGCACAGCCACACTCCCTGAAGCGTTGTCCTCAATGCCCCATTGCTGAGGCTGGTGACCTGGGACCCCGCTGAACCCGCAGCCGCGGGCGGGTGTGGGCAGCCGGACCTTCTGCAAGTCGGCGATGGCCTGCTTCAGTTTCTTGGCGTGGTCGTAGCGCTCCCTCTGCACAGCCTCCCGCTTCCTCTCATCCAGCCTGCGGATGATCTGTGCAACCTCGGGGTCCTGGTACATGTCGAAAGCCAGGTCATCGAGGGGAGAGATATAGTCAGACCGCCTGCGGGGAGAGGGGTGGACTCAGGGCCAGCTTCCATCTGGGACAGACACGAAGCGCTCGGTGCCTGGCCAGGGAGAAAATGACCTGGCTTCCCTGGATGGGGACAGGTGTAACCAGCAGACCCCAGGCTCTCAGAGCCAGCCCTGGCCAGGCTGCACCGCCAGGGCACTGCCTTGCAGGGTGGGCCGGGGCAGCTGGCCAGGGTCCGAGCGCTGGCACTGAAGGAGGATGAGCAGGCCTCCCCCAGGCACTGCCCTGCTCAGCAGGGGAGTCAGGTCTGAGCCCGCTCCGGCTTCGGAGGGCGCCCTCTTGTGGCCTAACTTCGGGGCGAAGGCGGACCCGGAGCAGGACACAGGTCTGCTGGGTGGGCAGAGGCTTTAACAGGTAACAGCTCAGGGCTCCACCCTGGACACCTGTGCCAGCTACACGGAGTGCCAGGTGTGAACTGTGGCCTGTGTATCGTTGTGTGTAGGTGTGTCCCATACTCTCTGTCATGAAAGCGTTAGCTGCAAAACGCGTGTAGTAACCGACTGGAGGGCCAGGGGTACAGCTTGGTGGGGCAGCGCCTGACAGCCCAGGGTGGGGTCCTGGGCTTGACATCCGGTACCAAAAAAAAGCAAAGCAAACCAAACCAAACCAAGCAAACCTTGAACTGGTTTCTAGTACATGTCTTTAAAAATCCTCTCGTCTCTCCTCCTGGTGGTGCTAAGGACTGTGCGGAGACCTTGCACACACCAAGCGAGAGAGCTCTACCAGTCCAGCTGCCCAAGCTGGCCTTGCATCGAACTCATCCTGCCTCGGCCTCCACATGGGCTGGGACGACAGATGAGCACCATCACACTTGGCCTCAAGCCGCCTCCTACCTCACCCTCACTTCCTGAACTCAGGGCGCTCTGCTGACAACCATAGCCCCAGGCAGGCCGAGTGGAGGGGACAGCTGGGGCAGCTTTGGGTGCCAGCAGGTCACCTCAGTGATGGCTGCACGGTGACTCACTGTCCACATTCCTGGGCACGCATGCTTTCAGATCGTCACTGCACATCTGGTGTCCCCGCCCTTGCATGAGGCCCCAGGGTGCACTCCTACCCTGCTGGCGGGGACCTGCTTGCTGGGTGCTCAGGGTGTGCAGCAGACCCAATCCTGGGCAGGGCAGCCTGGCTCTGCCTTGGTGGGGCAGACGGGACAGCCGGCCACCTCCCCCATGTGCCCAGGCTTCCTGTTGCTACCTGACAGGGCAGAGCTGCTGCGAAGCCAGCTAAGTGACCCTGGTCACTGTTCCACACGACTTCCGGTGCTCTGCGCCCACAATCACACAGGGCTGCCCCAGGGATGGCGGCCTCCTGGATGCCCCCGCAGAGCAGGTCTGGGGGAAGCGAGTCCACTGTGCAGCAACCTGGGGCCTGGCGAGCAGCACAGCCTCTGAGGATGCTGGGGACCCACTTTCTCCAGACACACAGCATGTGTGTCAGTGCTTCCCGCCAGGGCCACTGTGTGCGGGGACAGTGAGGTGACGCTGGAATGGGGGCCAAGCACAAAGCCCCAGTTACAGTGCAAACTTGGTGCCTTTTCTTTCCCTGAAGGCATAGTCACAGGTGCCTGGGACTCCCTCCTCTCCCCAGACCACGGCACCCGGGTGTGGCCTCTGCCGTGACACAGGGACAGCGAGGTGACGCGGAACACGGCCAGAGCTCTGGGGTTCCACTGTCTTTCTGGGGTGGCCCCACACTCTTAGCGACCTCCTGCCTCAGCTTCCCAGTGCTGGGTGTGAGCAGCTACACCCAGCTGCACTAGCTCTTGGCCCAGCACGGGTTCCTACACTGCAAAGAGGCAGCAAAAGAAACGCGTGCGCTCAGTCATCAGCAGGAAGCGGGCTGCGCAGGGAGCCGGCGGCTGGCGACGGTGTGCCCTCCACAGCTGCTGCGAGGGCACCGACCCCCACCACCACGGGGCCCCGCTGCTGACTGGAGTCAGCCACGCTCCACGGCTCCCTCCCGACACATCTCGAGGGCAGGCAGCACCAAGGGGCCCGCCTCCGTCTCCAGGGTGCGTTAAGTGACCCGGGCCACAGGCTGGCCCACCCAGCCAGGTCCACACGGAGGTTCTGCACGGTGAGGTGCGTGGGGTGGTGGCCCTTACCCGGCGTAAGTCCCCTCCAGAGCGGGGTCCTCGGGGTTGTGCCCCAGGTAATGGTCCACCAGCTTCTCCCTGGAGGTCTTTGGAAGCAAACAAAACGCTGAAAGCACAGCAAGCCAGGCGGCTGGAGCGCTCAGCTCCCTTCTGGGCTCTCGGAGGGACCGAAACCAGCACGAGACAGCCGATGGCGGCGGGCCAAGGTGGCGCTCGCTGCGAACCCAGCCTGCTGGGGCTGAGGCCGGGGCAGGGGATGCCGAGAGGTCAGGGCCAGCCTGAACTACATAGAAGATAAACCCAAAACAGTCAAACCAAAAAGATGGCAGCAGGTGAACGACCTGAAGCTTGCAGTAGGCTCATAAAGTTTTCAAAATGAGATTTCTTATTTTGAGACAGGAATGCACAGCAATCCTGCTTCAGCCTCCCAAGTGCTAGGATTACAGGAATGAGCCACCAGGCCCAGGAAAATGACACTTGTTATGCAAGGGATTCCTCCCATTAGGAATATATTTTCTTCCTTAGAAATTAAGTTTCCCAAACTTACAATGTTGCTTTCATCTCCAAAATCCGCAGGGTCTCCAATGATATTTATTGCAACCAAAGCAACCTGAGGAGTGAAACCAACAAGAATCAAGCAGACAACCTTTGAGACGCTCAAGTCCTTTACAACACAGGCTCCCTGCACCCTCGCCAACTGGGATGAGCAGAATGAAACCGCATTAATGGTGAACTGTACATGAAACTGTTATTAATTTGTTATGATCGATACATTGTGTCAACCTGAGAAGTTTCCAAGTTTAACTAAGAGACTCAGCAGGGAGCCAGGGTCCTTATTTTTTAAACACCCTCATTCTGTGAAGAGGAGGGCACAGAGGTGCCGCAAGCACCACCACCACCGGGGTGAGGGGAGGAGGAGAGGCTTGCTCTTCCGCCTCCTGCTTTGTTGCTTTGCCGTCCTCTGCCATCTGGAACCCCCCCCTCCCCGTTTTGGCTCTGGCTGCTGCCTTGAAGTCTGCCCGGGTGCTGTGCCACCCTGACTTGGAGCCAGCTGATTATGGACTGACACACTGTGAGCTAAATTAACTTCTCCTTCTGTCATTTTGGGTGTCGGGTATTTTGTCTCAGCAATGACAGAAGAGTAACCAATGCACAATTCTTACATAAATTACATAATATTCTAATGCTGAACCGTGGGGCTTTCTTTTTAAAGCCAGCAAAGAAATAATTGCTAAAAAGCCTTAAATTGGGGTCTTGCAATGGGTGAATATATAAGTCAGCTCTACTCGGCTCAGGTGATCAGAGTCGCTGACCCTGGCCCTACAGCAGATGTCCGGCAGGTGGGGTGGATGGGAAGAGGCTAAGACGCCTGTGCTTTGAACTCCCTTCACCTGAGGAGCCGGCGCTGGGGCTGGGGTGCGGGGCCGTGTGTGCGAGTTCCGGCTCCCACCCAGGTTGTGGCTCCCTGCCCCACAGTTGTTCTGGCTTTCCAGCAGCCCATCACGAATGTTGAAAAGAAATGTGTGGAGGGATTTCGCCCTACTATTACGGTGCCTCCACTGGTCACTGATAGGAATGTTCTCGTGGACTCCTATGCTCCTTTGGGTCCCCAGTCTCTGAAGTCCCATGTCTTGGTGACACAGCAACACGGACTTGTACGCAGCACTGCCGTACGCATGGGACAGCCCAGGGTCAGGGAGCAACGGTCACACAGGCACAAAGCACCCTTCTTACAAGGCACTCTCAGCCAGGCACGGTGGTGCACACCTGCAATCCCAGCACTCCGGGCAGCTGAGGCGGGAGCACTGCAAGTTTGAGCCCAGACTGGGCAGCTCAATGATCTAGCGAGACCATGGCTCAAAAACAAATAGGTAATTAAAATAAAAGATCAAAGAGGGCTGGGGTTGTGACCCAGTGCGGAGGCCCCAGGTCCAGTCCCAGGGCCAGGGAGACAGGCCTGGAGCAAGCACCCAAGGGAAGACTCTGTGCCCACTCCCGCAGGGTGCTGCCCTCACCTGATTATAGACGTTGTACTTGTTGACGTGGTTTTGGTGAAAAATCAGCTTAAGGAACTGCCCCACTGCATCCACGTACACGGACTTCAGTTCCCGGGCTTTGCAACCCGTCTTTTCATTGTCGCAGAGGGAGACGTAGCTGCAAGGGAAACACAGCTGAGGAAGGCACGGAGCGAGCGAGAGCGGCCCCGGCGCCCACCGAACCCACACGTAACGGCCTCGCCCAGGGCGGGATGCCGGGCCCAAGCTCGGACCCGCCCCTGCCCCTGCTGCAGCGGCATGTTAACCCCCGGGCCTCAGGGCTGCTCCAGCCTGCGCCTGCTTGGGCTGCCAACGCCATTCTTACCCCAGTCTGCGAAAGCGCTCTGCTTGGTACGGCACGAAATACTCAGGCAAGCTTTCGCTGACGTAGAACTCGATTTTACTGGAAATCATGTACTGGTGAACGAGAAGCTGCAGCTTCCTTATTCGGCACCTCTCCACCGTCTGGAGAACAATTTCTTGTGGAAACGGGCAGAACCTGAAAGCGAAGACATCTGTTTTCCTGGGCACAGGACGGAGGGGACTGAGAGAAGCGGGCGTCACTGTCTCGGGAGTCAGGCCAGGTCCCCTGCGCGACCCAGCAAGAACCCCGCTGCTGATGGCCTGACCCCAGCTCATCGGGAGCTGGGATCATGAGTGGTGGCGGTGGCGGGCAACACGGAGCTCAGGCTTTTGCACAGCTAGCCGATCACCGAGGAGACCGCTTCCGTCTCGGGCTCCCGGAGCCACAGGGAGCATAGTGGGAAACGGACATGACAGGGGGCGGCCTAGGGGCTGCTGAGATACCAGCCCGTCTCCCTCCTCTTCTGGTTGCTGTGGGGTGGGAGCGTCCTCTGGGTGGCTTCCACGCTGACACAGTGTGCTGCCACTGCCCCAGACGACCAGGGAGCCATCTCGGACACACTGGGCCGGGAGAAACCTCTCTTCCTTTACAGAGATGACATCAGGCGTTCGTCACAGGGACACAAAGTGGAGTCGAACTTGCTCCCAGGATGCTGAGTGCCAGCCTTTAAGGAGCGACTGCCGTGGACTCGGTGCCCAGGAAGGATTCTAGGCACCAGCAGTGCTGCTCTTGCTCATCCAGAAGCTCTGGCGGGACTTCAAGGCCACCACTCTGGCACCCTCTTCCTGTGCTGCTGCAGGATCAGTGCCTGCCCCGGATGGGAAGGAGGGTACAGAGGGACCATCGTGGGCGTGGACATCTCTGCCCGCACAGGAACCACAGAGGGCGGTGTGAGGCAGTGATGGGCTCGGGGTCCAGGGCTCTGCTCTGTGATGTGGGAGTAAGAGGCTGCTCTTTCCCATGTCAACTCTGAGTGCCAAGGTTGTGGGAGACACAGTGGGGGCAGGGCAGCGGGCAGCAGGGTGAAGCTGCGGCTTCTGAAGTGGCCCCTTGGCCTCCTGTGGGGGCTGCTGTTGCTTCAGACCTTTGTGATGCGCCCCTATTTGCAGGGGCCTGTGCTGCCATTTACGGTGAGTGCATTCTAACAGAGGCATTCGGGGTGTGCTGGCCGGGCACGTGGGCCTTCCCTGTGCTGTACTCTGGAAACATTCCCGAGGGGAGGATGGTCTCACCCTGAAACACTGCGCCAATGTGCAGAAGCACACCAATGGTGCCTCGCCTCCATAAACATGACCCAAAGGGTTTCCTGTCTGCTTGCATGAAACCTTCCAACCTGCACTCTGCTACAGACCCTGAGCAGTCAGTGTGGAGGTAGTCTGGGGAGGAGGCCTGAGAGATGTCCTGGCCGTGCCGCTGCCCGGACACCCAGAGGATGCGCGTCAGTGAGCTGCAGCATCTATACCCCTGCCTGGAACTCATGATGGCCTTCAATTCATGGGGATCCTCCTGCCTCAGCTTGCTGAGTGCTGGATTACAGGAGTGTACCTCCATGCCTCCCACGCAGACTTCTTAGAATTTCAGAAAAATCATAAAAGGAACATTCAAGTAATGAATGTTTTTATAAACATGCAAATGTTCAGGAGAAATCGGAAAGAGACTTTTTTGGATGAAGCCAGCTGTCACATGAAAGCACCTGGAAGCAAAATCTGTCACCAGGATGTGCCCAAGCACAGGCCTAATGGTGAACAACCTTGGTGTGCAAACTGCTGGCTTCAAGTGCAGGAGCCAGCGTGTGGTCAGAGCTGGACAGGGGTGAGTGTGGGCTCATGTAAAGGAGGAGGAGCGGAAAAATTTCTTTACAACCATAAAAAAGGAATACACCACCATAGAACAGGGTGCACGACATGAGACCACAGCCCGAAAATCCACAGCTCCTGATGTCTGAGTCATACTTAAACGAGAGCTTCGTATGAAAGGAGCCCAGAGTGGGACCCCAGTCCTGGTGCCTGGCCCACGCCCAGCCTGGTTCAGTCTTACCTTGGTGACCGCCACCCGCTGACCGTGGGCGCATGGATCATTAGCTCCCGGGCGCTGAAGCCGTCTTCGTGTCCAGAGGAGCTGACCACTACGAAGCCGATCTTGTGGGGCATGCTGCACGTGTGGGCTGTTTCTGAGGGCAGAGAGTTTCTTTATAGGCGTCCACCACTATAATGCTGAAAATGGTACTCCGTGCCTCCTAACCTACCAGGTGACTCACAAAGTATCCAGAATTTTCCATTCCTTTTTGTGAAATACTTTTTATAGACACTTGCAGTTCTACTTAAAGTACCATTTATCTGGACTTTGGTAATATTTGTTCAAAAGTTTGACCTGTGTCGTGCATGCACTGAGCTGTGTTCCCTCAAGATATATTTAAGTCCTCCCTTTGCTAGTGTGAATGTGGACTCATTCAAAAGGAGTCTTGGCAGACGAGACCCAGTTAACACGAAGCTATGGTCGGGCGTAGTGGTGCACACCTGTAATTACAGCACTCGGGGAGGCTGAGCCAGGAGGACTGCAAGTCTGAGGCCAGCCTGGGCAAGATAGTGAGACCCTCGTCAAAAACAGAAAGAAACGACAGTTGGGGATGTAGCTCAGGGCAGTTTCCACTGTGATTCCTGCCCCAGTCTTAAGGGTAGGCGCAATCCAATCAAGCCAATATGACTGCTGGGAAGAAGGGAAAAGGGGTGGGGGTGTCACTCAGTGGGGGAGCACTTTGCCTAACTTGTACCTGAAGAAGGCCTGAATTTGATGCCAACCACCGCAACAAACAAAGAAAAACAAGCATGCACAGAAGGTGAAACAGAGCTGGGCATGGCCACATCTGTAATCCCAGCACTTGGGAGGCTGAGGCAGGAGGATTGCTGCAAATGCGAGACCATGCTAGGCTACAAAGTTGAGTTCAAGGCCAGCCAGAACTGCATAACATAGTGAGACCGTGTCTCAAAACAGGAAAAAAAAAAAAAAAAAAAAAAAAAAAGGAAGGGGCTGGGGATTTAGCTCAGTGGAATAAACACCTGCCTTGCAAGCAGGTGGTTATGAGTTCGATCCCTGGTACCGATAAAAAGTTAAAAAAAAAGGAGACAGACCTCATTCAGGGCGGACACTGTGTGCTGACAGAGGCAGGGCTAGCAGGTCCCTGCAAGCCCAGGATGTCTGGGCTGGCTGGAGACCCCATGAGCCAGGACAGGTGGGAAGGATGGGGATCTAGTCCTTCAAGCCAGCATGGCCCCAGTCCTGTTTCATGTTTTCACTCCAGAGCACACTAGTTTGTTTTAGTTGTCCAGGTGATATTTTGTCATAAAAGTCAAATACAAATGTAAAGGTTTTTGTATCTGTCCAGAAACTAACACAGCCAGCTCCCCTTAGTTACTCAGGGGAGGAGGCAATTCAACCACCAGCATAATAATTACTATGTGAAATGAACAACAGGGAAGCAAGCACAGATACTATGTTAACTCAGAAGTTGGCAGTGGCACTCCTGATTGGTCAGAGCTCACTGATCGCTCTCATGATCTCATGTTTGCCAGGCAGGCACTTTGCCGTTGAGCCACTTCCCCAGCTCACTGAATTTTAATGTCCTGATTTTTCAGGGCTCTGACCCTCATCCTGATGCTGGTTCAGTGGCATCACTCGAGGGTGGGCATTGCGATGCCCACTTTCACTGCGTGGCATCCAGTACTCCTCACTGGGAAGCCCACCTTGACCGACTGTCCTCTGGGGACTCTGCCCTCTCCTCCCAAGCCTGGTACTGGCGCTTACCCACCTGTCCTACCTCTAACCATGTTTACTGGGTGCTTTGCTCTGCCTGGCCAGCCCTCCACAGGGAAGGGCTCAGGGATGGAACCTGACCGTGCTGGCATGACATGGGAGCTTTCTTCCCGAGGGGACTGCTGAGCCTAGAGTAACTCTGTTCTGGCAGCAGGGGCCACAGTGGGATGGCCCCACAAAATGGTGCTAACAGGGTGGAGTCGGGTGCAAGCTTCTCAGGAGTCCTTAGGTGTGGCTACCCTGAAAGCCCAAACTGCTCCTGGGCTCTTGGTTACTGTTCAGGCCTCAAGCCAAGGCGTCATTAAATCTGTAAAAACCAAAACCAAGCAGGAAGGCTCCCCCAAAATCCTCCTCACTAACACTGAGAACAAAGAAAAATCCACCGGAGATTTCTCTGGGATAAAATCCACATACTGTGTGCAGGAACACTCTTGGTGCCCCAAATGAACTCCGGCTCATTCTAACACACTTGGTGCGTGCTTTTTCTGTCACCGAGAGCCTAAGGAAGTCCTCTGGATTTAAGTGACTAGCTAGCTGGTGTTGCTAATGATTCTCAGAGCACACAAACAAAAGCACCCAAAGCAGAAGCATGACGGGGATTCACGGCCTTTGGTGTATTTCCACACAGAGTCCCTGCAGGAGCTCACCATGCATCACAGGGTAGCAGACCCAGGGAGTGACGGCAGCAAGCATGGAAAGAGACCGAGTGTGGTGGAATGCAGCATCCACCCACCGCCCAGGTGCCTGCTGGGCCGGGTCAGAACAGCAGGAGCTATAGCTTTGTTGTCCTCTTGTGGGACCTGCCACTCGGGTCACCCGGACTCTCTTCTAGACAGACTTTCCTCCTGGCCACCCAAACCTGAGGGCGTGAGGACAGCCCACTCCTCACCTGGACACCCCTTTCCACTTTGTCCTGTGCTCCCGCAAACAGAGGTTCCTTGGTGGCTCTGGTTGTCTCCCTCCCCATCCTGACCCACTTTGCTTTCTGACCCTTACTTTCTGTCTTGAATTTGAATGCCCAGCCCAGCTTAACCAAAGAGCAGCAGTACCATCTCTTTGCCCTGAATTCCTCATCCTTTGCTCATTGGAAAGAGCAGGGCCAGTGATTCCCTTCTATCTTGATAGCCCGAGGTGCCACCGGGGCTTACAGAGAACCTTTATGCCCAGGTACCAGGTGTTTCTACTATGCGGTGCTCCCCTAATAAACCCCAGACTACTGGCAAGAGGATCGCATGAGCACCGTGGAGATGACCTGTGACCTCAGTATGGGCATCCCTGTCCCAAGGCCTTCCACCTTGCACCCTCGGGTTCCTCCTGTGTAAACATGCGATGCTTTGGGGCTCTGTAAAAGCCACCATGCACACGCAGAAGCACCATGCTCCGAGTCAGGCACGGCAGTGCACACGTGTAATCTTAGCTACTGGGGAGGCTGAGAAAGGAGATCGCCAGCCTGGGCAACTCAGTGACACCTCGATTAAAAATAAAAGGGCTGGGGGTGCAGTTCAGTGGGATAGCCCTTACAGAACTAAGCAGGGCGGGTCTGGGTTCACCCCAGTGTGTGTGGGAAGGGGAAAACCACAATTATCTCCGGCAGCGGCGGCGGCTCAGCTTTGGACTCGGGCACCAGCTAGTCTGCAGCACTGGCTGGGTGGGGGGTCCCAGCCGCCTGCACCCCGCGGAGCCATGTGGACCCCGACCTCCGCGCCCCGCTCCCTCGCCGGGGCCGCAAACCGCACGACGAGATGCGCGAACGGGACTCCAGGTCGCTGTCCGGTCAGCGGGACCTGCTGCGGCCGCAGGCGCCGCCCTTACCCACACCCCGCCGGGACCAGAGCCTGCCCACCCCCTCCGGCGGCGCCGCCTCCGCGGGCCCGGGCTGGGTGCGCAGGGCCAGGACGCCGGGTGTCACCGCGCCGCCGGGTCGCGTGGGGGAGCCCCGGGCCCGAGACCGCCTCGCCCCGCCTACCTACCCGCTCCGCAGGCCGCCGCGCCCCAGGACGGAGCTCAGGGGCGTCTCCGCCGCCGACCCGGCCGGCTGCACCCGCAGGCCCCGCGGAGGTGACAGCCGAGGACCAGCCACCCCCGCGCACCGCCGGGCTGCGGCCGCGCTCTCATGACAACCGGGCCGGCCGCGCCCCGCGCCTGCGCCGCCGCCCGCGCCTGCGCAGAGGCCAAGACTCCGCCCCGAGCCGCGCTTGCGCAAGAGGAGAGCGGCGCCAGTCCCGGCCGCGCATGCGCACGACCCTCGGGGCGCGCGCCGGGGTGTCCCAGCGCGCGGCCGCGGCGTCAGGATGTGTGCGGCGCTCGGCCGGCCTAAGATCGTCCGGCTGCGGGACCTGCACAGCGCGCGCAAGTTCGGCGTGGCGGGCCGCACCTGCCAGGAGGTGCTGCGCAAGGGCTGCCAGCGCTTCCAGGTGCGCGGGGTCCTCCCGGGCTGCGGGCGCCCTCAGGCATCCGCGGGCGGGCTCGGGTGGGGGTGCGCCCCGGTCTCCGGTGACACCCGGCACCCCGCCCCAGGTTCCCGAGCGCGGCTCCCGGCTGTGCCTGTACGAGGACGGCACGGAGGTGACCGAGGACTACTTCCCGGGCGTCCCCGACGACGCCGAGCTCGTGCTGCTCACCGCCGGCCAGACCTGGGGGGGCTGTGAGTGCGGGGACCCTGGCTCGCGCGGCTGCGCGGGCTCCTGCCCGGGAGCGCTGCTGTTCGGTGGTTATCTTGTTTTTGTGATGCCGGGAATGGAACCTAGGACCTTCACTCGGAGCTACGACCTTCCTGCCCTCCTTTCTATGAGACAGCGCCTTCCTCAAGTCCCCAAATTGTCCAGGCTGAGTTTGAACTTGGCGATCCTCCTGCTCAGCCTTCCAGGGTGCTGAGATTACCTGCCTGTGGCAGTAGCCTGGCTGCTGTCTTTTTTTTTTTTTTAATTCTTCAAATCCAGCTTGGGTTGGGCCTGCCGTTTTGTGGGGAGAGATCCATCTGAGTTTTATGCCTGTTCTGGGCAGGGCAGCCTTTGGTCACTGACGCGCCGTCTCCCTGGGCGGGTGCTGTGACAGGTGGGTGGGTCTTTGGGGCGTCCCCAGGTTGTGAGTCTCACCTTCAGATCAGCTGGACAGCAAATTCTGTTCCCCTGGTGCCAGGGCCCTGGGAGGGAGACACCAGCAAGTGCCCCCCACAGGAGGTTATCTGGCTTCTGTGCAGAGGGCGATGTTCTTGCCACCTGGGGTGGTGAGGGTGGGAGTCGAGTGCCCACTGGTTTGGAGGACAAAGGCTGGTGACATCTGAGCCTGGGCCATCTGTCCTCGGGCTCTAGGTGGTTCCCTGAGGGCGGGGCAGGGTGTGCCTTCCCTGGACTAAACCCATCTGTTTTTCTCCTGCTGGTGGCAGATGTGAGTGATATAGGTCGCTTCCTCAGCGTGTTTCAGGAGCCGCACCTGGGCGTCATCCAGGCCGCCCGGCAGCTGCTGGCCGATGAGCAGGCCCCGCTGCGGCAGAAGCTGCTGGTGGACCTGCTGCAGAGCGCAAGCCAGAACATTGAGGCTGAGATGCGGGCCCAGGACCCAGCCTGGTTCGAGGGTGTGCTTTTGTGTGGGGCTGGGGTGAGGGGACTCGGCTGAGACTAGGGTTGCCTTCTGAACCATTTTAAGTACATTCATCTCTCCACGTCCACGGGGCACTGTGCATGCCAAATTCCAGGAGGATCCAGCGCACTCAGGGAAGCGGCGGTGTTCCTACAGACAGATGCATAGCCTTCCCTGTGTTTTAGGTTTGCAGTACTGGCAGTTGGCCCTAGGACCTCATACGTGTTAGGCAAGTGGTCTATCGCTGAGCTATAGCCTCAGCCCTGTTTTTTAAATTTTTAAACAGGGCTCCCTTTAAGTTGCTCAGCCTGGTTTTGAACTTGCAGTCTTCCTGCTCAGCCTCAAAGGTAGTTGAAATTACATTCCTTTTTCAAGGCTGAGGAATATTCTACCACATGGATGGAACACACTTTGTTCATCTGTTTGTCCACCGGGAGACATGGGTTGTGTGTGTCCAGGCTGTCAGTCTGGCCTTGGGAGCCAGCGGGGGGTGACCCTGGTAAAAGGGCTGGTGAGGGGCATTCAGGGACAAGCCCTCAGTGGTGTCTGAGATGCCTCCGAAGTGAAATCCAGATGGCATCGCAGTGTGTCACTGAGTGTTACCGTTAGCTGCTGTGTGCGGCCTGCTGGCCCCACATTCTGCCCTGCGTGTGACTCAGGTGTCTTCTCCTCGGCAGGCCTGGAGTCCCGATTTAGGAACAAGTCTGGCTACCTGAGATACAGCTGTGAGAGCCGGATCCGGGGCTACCTGAGAGAGGTGAGCCTGTTCGAGGCAGGTAGCGGTGATGGCCTGAGAGGTGACGCTCTCGCCCCACTCCCCCGCTGTCCCTCTGGACCGCAGCCCCTGGCCGCCCTCATGCTCTGGGCTGAGGTCTGCTGTCCCTCTTAGCAGGGTTCCCCCTGTGTGAGGACCGGTCTTTACTCTCCTGGGCGTCACAGGGGTACTTTTCTGTGCCCCCCACTCACTCTCACCACTGCCTTCAAGGCCACGCAGTCATAAACCGCAGGAGTGCCTTAATGGCAGGGTCGCTGCCCTCGGTGGGAGAGGGGTCCAGGACTGCGTGGCTGTGCAGGGCGCTGCGTGGGTGGCTCTGGTCACTTCTGGGTGGGAGCCAACTCCTAGGCAGTTGTGTCCTTCCCCAGGGAGACGTCACAAGCCGGTGCCGGTCGGAGGGTAGAGGCTGTGCTGGGCAGTGGCTCTGATGTGATCTCTGCTGCTTTCTGCACAGATGACAGGGCCATGAGGGCAGGACTACTCAGACCTGGCCAGGGAGCCCGTTCTGGAGCAGGGTGTGTATTCCATGCCCTGTGGTCGCCCTGTGGCTCCTCTCAGGCTCTACAGACAGGAGCAGCTCCAAGTTGGGGTGGAGGTGGATTTTGCCCTGGGCCCCTTGGCTGGTGGGTGCTTAGCTGCTGCGGCAGTGACACAGACCCGGCTAGGTCTACCCTGTTGTGCTGTGTTGCTGGCAGCTTGTGTGGGTGGCAGACACCTGGTGTCTGTTTCGTTCCTCCCCCCCGCACCCTGACCAGGTGTGTGTTGTGGGCAGCATGTGAGTTTGTGTGGAGAACAATGGACACAAGTATGTGTCCCTGGCATCGCCCTTGTGCCGATGGCCCCCCATGGCTGGTGTCTCAGCCTTGCCCTTGTGGCCCAAGGGGACGTCCCGCTGCAGGGGGCCCCCTGGCTTCTCAGGCTGTGTGACCCCCCACCTCCCATGTTTCCTGGCCATGGTGTAGTCTGCCTCAGCACTGCCCTATGCTGTCACACCGTGTCTGTCTGTCCTTCCTGCTGAGAAGGGCTTGGACGTGGTGGCACTTTCTGGTCCACGCGCTCTGCAGGCTTCTTCCTGGGCAGCACTGGCATGCAGCACCCAGGTGGGCCTAGAGCATGTCCAGCGCTTGTGTTGAACATCTGCCCAGCTGTGACCACAGTTGGCAGGTGCACACAGAGGACCAGGAGTCCAGGCATGGTCACCCTCAGGCCATGACCCAGCCCTTGCCCTGCTGACTGACTTTCCCTCTTCCTCCTGGGGGCGGAGCCAGCCCCACAGCTGTGGTTGGGGCTCCCTGTGCCCTTGGCTGTCCCCTGGGGAGGGGGGTGTGATGGTGGTGCTCTGCTGGCTATGTGCTCCTCCACAAGGTGCCTAGCCACCTCCCTGGGTGCCTTGACCTGGCACTCTGCAGTGTATTCATTGCTGCTGGCACCTCCTCCAGGCAGGACAGACCCGGACCTTCCTGTCACCTGCTTCCTGTGTGGCCTGGCTGGCCCTTACTTGCCCGGCACCCAGCACTGCTGTGGTTTTTGGCTTGGACCCTCCGACCACAGCCCTGGGCCAGGCTCCTGAGGGCACGCAGGACCACAGGGCAGGATCCTTGCACCGGCCTTGGCCTGTGCCCAGGCTCAGTGATGCTGCCGTCTCCCAGGTGAACGCCTACACCTCTGAGGTGGCCTCGGAGGCTCGCGAGGAGTACCTGCGTGTGCTTGGCGCCATGTGCCGGAAGCTCAAGGCTGCGCAGTACCACGGCAGCTACTTCGATCGAGGAGCCGAGGCCGGCAGCCGTCTCTGCACCCCGGAGGGCTGGTTCTCCTGCCAGGTGAGTGGTCGCTTTCCCCCGGCACCCAGGCGGCCTGCAGGGCTGAGACAGGAAGGACTCTCAGCCCTTGGTCTGGGCGAAACTGGAGAGTAGGGTGCCCACATCCAGGGTGGGCATAGTCTCAGTGTGTGCTCCACTTCAGTGGGGGTGGAGGTGTGCCCTGGGGGTGTGTGTTTGTGACACGCTCCATTGGGAGCCTGTCTTGTCCCCACCTACCCTCCTGGGTAGGAAAGGTGCCCTTCTCGGGCCTGGGGGGGCAGGTTATGCAGGAGGTGATGACGGCCCACACGCTGGTGAGGACCATGCCGCAGGGCTTTGCGACAGGGTTCTGGAGGGTCAGCATCAGGGCTGGGGTGGCCTCGTCCAGCCGTTAGTTGAGCCATTTGGTTGGAGGCAAAGCAGGGGTTCTCGCTGCCCGAGTCACTTCCCTCCTGCAAGCTGTCAGGTGTGCCCCTGCCTTGGGCTGTAATGCACCTGGGCTGGCCTGTCTTGGCCCCCAAGGTGTGAGGCAGTGCAGGGACACCTCGGGCCAGCTGCAAACTGCAGGTGCATTTCCGATGCCCCACTGGGCCTTCCTGGCGGTTCAGGTCTGGTGGCAAGGGTGCTTTCCAGTGACCTTTGGCACTTGCCACACCGCCAGTCGTTTTCTTCTGGGGGGGATGGACTCTGCCCTTGAAAAGCTTCCTCCTTCCATGCTCGCCTCCCTCCGGTGAGCTCTTTTGGCCGCTCACTGTGGACCTTCCCTGTGCCAGGCACTGAGGGGACACCGAGATGGCACATCCCTCTTGCCTGCCCTCAAGGAGAGGCCACCAGGAGGGGAAGCATGTGGCAACTGCAGTGGCAGAGTGGCTTTGTGTCGAGGTGCGGGGGTGCCTAGGGTGCAGGAGGAGCTGGGGCTCAGCATGTGTCCCACCGTCCTGTGGGCTGAGGAGTGCCAGGGGACTGCGCAGGCTTAGTGAGGTGGCCCAGCTTGCCTGGGGTGACAGGGAGCTATCTGGGAGCCCTACGGAGTAGACAGTCCCTGGCCCTGGCCTGCCGCTTGGTGCTTTCCCTGCTAGGCTACTCAGGTGGGGCTGTGGCTGACCCGTGACATGCAGCACTGGGATGCCAGGGCCGCCCCGGGCATCACGGGAGGCTGCTGTCCCTGGGTGATGGAGGTATCTGGTAAAGACGCCTTGGTGACTGCCAGTGACAGAAACAAATGATTTCACAGGCGGAATTCCTGAACTCCTGATGTGCCCAGACAGTCAGCAGGGAGTGTTCAGGGACCAGGTGCCCATGGGGCCCACTGCTCAGCTCCTGCCTTTCCTGTCCCATCAAGCAGGGTGCTTTCGACCTGGAGGACTGCGCCTCGAAGCACTCCATCAACCCCTACAGCAACCGGGAGAGCCGGATCCTCTTCAGCACCTGGAACCTCGACCACATGTGAGTTGTCAGGGATTCTGTGGGTGCCTGGTGCGCACAAACCATACAGCAGCGGCCAGGTCCTAGCAGCCTGCTGGGTAGCTCCACGGCTGTCAACAGTCTGTTTCCTGGGCTGAGCATGTACGCTCCAGCCCAGGGCAGGGGCCTGGTGGGATGTGCAGGGCTGCCAGGTGGGTACACACTCTTTTCCCTGCCGTCAGAACACAGCTGGTCATCCGGCTGTCCCCTTTCTGCCCTCTGGTTCCTCTGGATGGAGTGGGGCAGTGGGCCTTGCCTGGAGGGAGGGCCTGGCCTTTTGAGTGCTCTGCCAGGTGGTCAGAGGCTGCCTGCCACATGCCGTGCTGGAGGAGCTGCAGGGTGAGAGCTCCGGCTCCTCGCTGGGAGCAACCACCTGACACCTGTGACCTAAGGCAAAGAAGTTTATTTGGCTCATGGTTCCCCAGGGCTCAGTCTGTGGTTAGCCAGCTTCAAAAGTGGCATGGTGGAAGGGTCTGGTGGAGGACAACTGCTCAAGCTGTGGCAGCCAGGGGCAGGAGCAGGGGACAAGCAGATAGCCTTGTGGGTCACACTCCAGTGTCTGCCTCCTGTCTCCAGCCCAACCCCCACATCTCATTGCTGGATGAATGCTGTGACCAGCAAGGTGCCCCACGACCCCGTCACCTTCCAAGTGTACCACCTCTGAACACGGGGACGTGTGGGGATGTTTTAGATTCAGGCAGCATAGACAGCACAGCGTGTGGGGACTTGTGGGCCTGCTTGTGGGCAGCTTTCCCAGCTCTGGAGCTGTGGCAGCTCATTGTGCACCAGGGTAGGTGGAGGCAACGGTCTTGCCGACCTGACCGTCCCTTCTTAACCGCGACGCTCTCTGTGAGTATCTCGGTGTCTAGAGTATCTCTTGCTCTAGGCAGGCAGAGCTCCAGGCTCCTGGAGATGGCATTTTGGAGTAAACGGGATGTGAGAGGTGGTGCCAACTTCTTCCTCCTGCAGGGGACACCCAGCCTCCAGCAAGAGGTACAGGGTGCGCAAAGCGACGATGGCTCCTGATGTGGATAGTTGTGTTTACTGGCTTGTAATTAAAAACGCAGGTCTCAGCCCATTGGCCAGGAGGCTGCAGAGACCCTGATCTGTCTCTTCCCTCGGAGGCCAGGCCTCTGTGGATGGGTGAGGCTCCAAGCCTCCTGCCAGCTACAGGACACAGAACCTGAGCCGCCCTCCTGCCGCAACCAGGGCCAAGGGTAGCCTGGCAGGCAGGGTGCAGGTCCAGAAGAACTCACAGCCGTCCCTGTGTGCTGCAGTGTGGCAGTGAGGGGGTGGGCCATGGTGGCCACCATGCTGGTGGTTGTCCCAGCCTCCCCGCTGGGCTTGGGGCATGCACATGAGGGCACCGCCTGTCGGAGGAGGAGGGCCTGGGAGATAGAGTGGGGCAGGCCCCTGCAAGCTCTGAGCACCTCCCCCTTGAGGTGCAAGTGACCGAGCACCCCCAGCCCTGCATCCTGTGGGGTCTTGTGGGGCCCTGGTGATGCGGGCAGCGCCTGCTGTCCGCTCCACTGTGCTTCACCTCTTCCTCACCACCGTGCCCGTCTTGGGCCCTGTACTTCATGACTTTCGTGTGTGTGTGTTTTATTCCTGCTTTTTACTTTTTTGGCTTCTTATTCTTTTGTGCTCTGTTGGGAGCCGTGGCACTGTCAAGTCATCAGACGCGGTGATTGCGAGGCCTGTGGGAAAGTACAAAAGCCTGAGCTAGATTACCCCTCTCATCGAGCCCGCCTGTGTGGCACCTGTTTCTTATCACCCCACTAAGTTCCCGCCTCACAGGGTAGTCTGCCTAGCTATTAATCCTATATATAGCCAGTGCCTCCACCCCCGAGAGGGAGAGAAGCACGAAAGGAGCCGCGGGGAGCGGACCGGTAGAGGCTTCGGGGGAGACTGAAGCACAAAAGGAGCCGCGGAGAGCGGACCGGTAGAGGCTTCGGGACAGACTGTAGGGAGAAGCACGCAAGGAGCCGCGGAGAGCGGACCGGTAGAGGCTTCGGGACAGACTGTAGGGAGAAGCACGCAAGGAGCCGCGGAGAGCGGGCCGGTAGAGGCTTCGGGACAGACTGTAGGGAGAAGCACGCAAGGAGCCGCGGAGAGCGGGCCGGTAGAGGCTTCGGGACAGACTGTAGGGAGAAGCACGCAAGGAGCCGCGGAGAGCGGGCCGGTAGAGGCTTCGGGACAGACTGTAGGGAGAAGCACGCAAGGAGCCGCGGAGAGCGGACCGATAGAGGCTTCGGGACAGACTGTAGGGAGAAGCATGCAAGGAGCCGCGGGGAGCGGACCAACAGAGGCTTCGGCCGGGAGGATTCCCGGGGCAGGCTGTACGGAGAAGGAAAATAAAAGGTTGTCCACTGCCAGACTTTGTTGTGTGTCCTTCCTGCCGGCCGGGAGTGACACCGACAGTGCTCCTTTTATATTCTAGCATACATTTAAAGCCACGCATGTGTCTCCTCAATATTGATTTAGCCGTATCTCTTTTATTCCCTGGTGCTAGACTTCATAATGCCCATTATGAGTTTATTCCAATGCTGTGTTATGCTTGTTTCTGATTTGTCGTTTGCTGTGTCTTTCTACCCGTAAACAGTCCAGACTCTGCTCGCCTGGAAGACGCTCCGCTTCTGTCCCTTTGGGGGGACTCGAGCTTCCTGCTGCCCCTCGGGTAGCACGGTTCCTTTTGTGTGTCTCTCTTTTCATGCCCTTCTTGATGCGTGCCCGTGGGATGTGGAGATCAGTGTGGCCTCCCTTTTGCAGACTTGCACGTGCGTGTAACAGGGTGGGTTGCTCTGCCACCCGTGGGGGCTGCCATTATTTATCTGCCAAGATTCTCCCTCCTCTGTCACAGGCGAGGGTCCCTGCACTGGAGCTGAGCCCAGTGTGGTTTCTGGTTCCCAGGGACCAGGACAGCGTCTGGCCGCAGTGGCTGTTCAGCACATACTTGTTGAATATTTTGCTCGTGAATAGGGTTATCTTTGCTACTTTACTTGGCATTTCCATTCACTATACTATTTTTACGCTTTCTGTTGATTCGCTTGAGTTTTCTGCTGTGCCCCTTTAGTGTCTGGAAAGTAAACACAGGTCCCTAAATACTGTCAGTACTCAAAGTTGGGTTTGCTCTTCTGACTCTGATGCTTTTTTTAGGGTTATGGTCCCTGGGTTTGTTTTCCTTTTTTTCCTTTTTGAGACAGGGTCTCACTGTGTAGTCCAGGCTGTCACTGAACTCACTATAGGGCCCTGATGGCCTGGAACTTCCTTGATTTTCCTCCCGGGCACTGGGGATTACAGGCGTGCACCACCACGCCTGCGTGTGGTTGTGTGGTCCCTGGTTCTCCCTCCATGAAATGCTGTATCTCGTGGTTCATGCTGTCGGAATCCACTTGCAGCCCGCTTCTCTGTGCTTTGTGCTCCCTGCGCCCTGGCCCTTCCCCCCTGGCAGTGTGCTGCCCTGCACTTCTCTCACCAGTGTCTGCTGGGCATGAGCGTGTCTGCTGAGTGCCCCAGCACTTCTCGACTGACTGTGAGCCCTGGGTGACTCCAGGCCTCAGTTGTCTCCTGCCATTCCCTTGTGAGATGTCTGCCATCAGTCTGACTTTCTGTGTTTTTTCTTGGAAATGCTAGTATGTTGGCGTTAACCTTTCCTTTGGGTTGTGATGGGGACTGTGTTGCCTGGTGCTGCCCCTGCTCCTCTTCCCTGGTGCAGCTCTGTGGCTCTGTTCAGGGGACTGGGCTGTGCTCCCCCAGGTCACACTAGCTCTGGCCCAGGTGGACCACATCTGGAGGCGGGGTGTAGGGGGACCATGAGGGGAATTGAGGTCAGGAGGGGTGCCAGGGGCCTGGGGTACTGACTAGAGGAGGAGTGTGCCTGCTCTGCCTGGCTGCTTGTGCGAAGATGCAGGGGAGCCGATGCCCACAAGCCAGGAAGGGGGCCTTGGTCACAGCCTGACCTCGCCTTCCGGCCAGCTACCCCTGCTGCCGTCTCCCCTTCCTTGCACTCTGCAGGCTGCTGTCACCTTTCTGGAGCAGCAGTGGGGAAGCCACCCTAACGTGGCCAGGATCAAGGATGGCTCAGCCTGTGCAAATCCCCAGCCACTTTGAATCAAGCAGTATAGTCGAACCTGGACATTCAGGCCCACATCGGAACCTCTGTGAGCTGTCATGTGGCTTGGCTCTGTCTGGGAGGACTTCTTCCACACTGATACCTCTCCCTGCCAGCTCCTGATTTATCCTGCAGTAGTCTGGGCTCAGGAGGTCCTGTGAATCTTGCGGTTCTTAGAGTAGTGTCAGAGTGGATCATTTTAAAAAGAGCTAGGAACAGGGGCTGGGGGTTTACCTCAGCGGCATAAGCGCCTGCCTGGCAAGCAGGCAGTCGTGAGTTTGATCCCTGGTACCGATAAAAAGGAAAAAGACAAAAAAGAGCTAGGAACACTAGGGGCTGCCAGGCCAGAGCGCTCTAGAGACCAGTAGCTGGTACAGGTCAGCAGCAGAGACTAGTGGCCAGTATAGGTCAGCAGTAGGGACCAGCTCCTCTAGAGGTTACTACCAGCTAGTGCTGGTGGCAGCCGGTAGTGGCACTGTCAGCTGTCCAGGCCCAGCATCAGCTGCAACCCACAGGGCAGAGGGCCACTAATACTCAAAGCCCGGCTGTGACTTTATTTCACTCGAGCAGAAGGGCCAGCAGAGGGCCCCTTGACTGGCTGGTGACAGGTGGCTGGCAAGGGATTTAACCTTGTTCAGAGTTCTGGCTGTGCCTCTGTCTGGGGAGGGGACCTGTACACCCCTGGAGCGCCTGCCCACAGTGTCTTTGCTTACAGCATAGAGAAGAAGCGCACCATTGTGCCCACACTGGCCGATGCCATCCAGCAGCAGGATGGCAGGGAGGTGGACTGGGAGTACTTCTACAGTCTGCTCTTCACCCCTGCAAACCTGAAGCTGGTGCACATCGCCTGTCACAAGAAGACCACCCATAAGCTCGAGTGTAACCCACATAGGATCTACAGACGCCAGCCGGGGCCGCGGAGGAGGAAGCCTGCTCGAAAGCGCCCATGACTCACTGGCGCTGTGTCCTGGAACAGGTGCTGCTGTTTGTCCTTCTGGTAGCTCCTGGGAAGCACTTCCCAGCTCTCCCCTGCAGACCTGGTGCAGCCCTGAACCAGCACCCTCTGCCTTGAGAAGCCAGCCTCCAGCAGGCACTGGAGGGTGCTTGCCAGGGAACTGCAGGTCCTGGCTGAGCGGCCAGGAAACCCGTCTTGTGCTCAGGACTCTTGTGCGTTGAGCTGGCCGGCGTGGAGCACCTTGGGGAGGTCTCTGTGGACTCGGCGCCACAGCTGGATGTGGCCTCAGCTCTCTGCTGCTTTCACACAAGTGGCAGCTTAGACTCCTCGGAAAACCAGAGGGGGGTGTGGCCGTGTGTAAAATGTTTGCACTCCCTAGCAGACATGCAGGGTAGACACTGCTGGGCTCATAAAATGCACAGAGTGGAAACCTGCCAGGTGCTTTTGAGGGAATTCGCTGCATGTCGAGCGGTACGAATTGTTGTTTCTGTAGGTAGACAGTGGTCGGGTAGGAGTAACTTCCTTTTTTTTGGCACTAGGGATTGAACTCATGACCTAGTGCTTGCCAGGCTGGCGCTTATGTCACTGAGCTAAATCCCCAGCCCTGGGTAGGAGTAACTTCCAAGTCTACCCAGCAGCGGCGCTGGTGCTTAGCAGTGGGAAGCCACTGAATGCCCAGGGGGCCAGCTGTGCAGTGTGACCCCCTGGCTCGGCCAGCAGGGACAGTGTTGGGGAGACACCCCAAACTGCTCAGGGCTGCAATCCTGGGGACGTGGCAGGATGGGGTCACAGCATGAGGGACTCACTTTCTGTACCATGTGTTTGTAATACTTAATGTTTTTAAGCGATCACTTTGTCAAATTTTACAGTGTATTTTGCAAAGTCCTATATTTTAAATACTTGGATTTTTTTATACTTATAAATCAAAATAATATTTTACACATAAATCAGAAATTAAATGAAAATTTTTCCAGAAGAGCTGTCCAGGGAGTCTGGCCTCCTTGAGAACGATGGGAACCAGGTCGGTGTGCTCTGAGCGCTCGCCCCGTCGGTGCCTTGAGGTGGAGCCAGCCACATGGCTTGCACACTGCACAGGTGTCTCTGCTGTTTGTTGGGAAGACAGGTGCTGGGAACAGGGTACCCAGCTCCTAAGCTGAGCCCTTGCATGGGAACTTTCTGGAACTCGGTGGACTGTACCTGTGCTTCAGGAGCCGACGGGAAGGAAGCTGTGCAGTGAAGTCAGGAGAACCAGCTGCTCTGGACCCCAGGCTCTCGCTGTGAGTGTCCCTGAAGGCAGCCTTCCGTCCTTTACACCTCAGAAGGTGGGCCACCTCCCTCCACGCCTCTGCTCTGAGATGTCCCTGGTAACAGCTAGCAGTGGTGCAGTAATACAGGTCTGAGGTGCTGTCACCAAGGTGTCGGGAGTCTGTCTAGCCAGACACACACAGATGACATGGAATCCTTTCCTCACTCACTGCCTGGCTGTGAGGGGCAATGGGACCCTGGGAGCCTCTGAAAACTGCTCCCTGGGTACAGGAAAGTAGCCAGGGCAGATGGCATCATGTCAGCCCATGGCCCCTGCCCTGGGGACCTTGTAACTTGCCTGACAGCTTTGAGGACTGCCCTGCTTGGAGAGGAGTGGAACCCAAGGTGGCATTTCCTACATGTGCTGTGGTTACTTTTGAGGGCTGCAGGCAAGTGGGGACAAGACCCCAGGGAGCTATCCCCTGGTGGGTGATGGGCTATCTGTCCTCCAGGAAGGAGGTCGGTCCTTGGAGCCGAGGGAGGGCCCTTCTGCTGCAGGGTCCTGGTGCTGGTCTTTGAAGGATGCAGGTGAGCGTGCAGCGGGCCACTACTGTCCCCATGGCATGCTCCATCTGCACAGCAAAGGTGCAGTGAGCATGGGCCTCTGCTTCTCTGGAGGAAGGGCCAGCCGCTACAGGCCCTGGCTGTCCACTGAGAGACAGGGCTCTTGGAGCAGTGGACATTGGCAGCAGCCATTCAGAGCTCAGGGAGCAGCTGAGGCGAGCTGGGCCTTGGCAAAGCACCAAGGTAGTGAGCCAAGGTTGGGAAGCCAGCGTCTCAGAGGGGAGGGGCAGGTTTTCATCCCAGGTGAGCAGAAGCGTTGAGAGGTCCTAGGGAAGAACCCGAGCAAACCCTAAACCCTGCCGGCCGGGGGAAGGGCCCGGCCTGCTCTGGACGGCTGCGTCTGTTTCCACCTGAGGCCGAGGCCCCTGTTTGACCCAGGGGAAGGCTGGCTCCCCAGCAGCCGAGGTCCTCATGGGAGTGCCATCGTGGCACCAAAGCTTTGTCCCCTGCTTCCTTAAACTCGACACAGAGAGAATGAACGAGTCTGAGTCCCCACTGGGAGGGGACACCTACAAGGCTGGTATATCCCAGCATCCCCCTTGCCTTAGTGGCCTGCTGCCACATCTGGTCTCCTGCTTTCCATGGGACACCTGGACTCCTGTGGTGACTCTACCTCTAGGCCGTGGCCTTCGGGGCCTTGAGCCTGCCATCTCTGCCACCTTTACAGAAATGGAGTCCATGTGGGCTCCACTGTTCTGCCGCCCCAAATGATGCCATCAGCTCTGATTTGGGGGAAGGGAGAAGGGACTTGTGTTGGGACCTGCCTAGGACGGAGGTGTGCACAACAGGTGACCAGGCTGGTGTTCCCACCTGGACCCAGCCATCTGTGCGAGCTGGAGCCTGTCACGGATGGGCAGCCGGAAGGGACCTGTGTTCCCTGCTCTGGGACTGTGAGGACACGCCTCTTCCGCAGCCACGTGGTGACTTAGAACCGTGCCAGCGGCTGAAGGCCACACACAGGAACGACAATGCTCTGAGCTGAGCCCCGCCACCACCTTGCCAGGTGCTGCTTTAACCATTGCTGGTGCAGCAGTTGAACACTGCACATCGCTTCCCCAGCTGTCAGAAAACGACTCCGCTAACGACACTCTCAAGTTCTAGTTCATCAGTCAATAAATCAGGAAATTACAGTCAGTGAAGGTCACCGCTGATGGGAAAGTGATCTCCCATCAGCGGTGGGAGCTGGAATGGCTGCGGGGAAATTACTTCTGTGGGGAAGGATTGGGTTTTGAACTAAAAAGTGGTGAAAAATTTCCTGCTGGGCATCTCAGGTGCATTTTGCTCCTGGTTTGTCTGTTCTGTGACTCATTTCCTGTACCTCAAGGACAGATGGCTTAAAGGTCACGCTTGGCTGTGGTCACCAAGCCAGAGGCTCCTCAACCAGGACAAATCTCACCTGGGCTCCCCTGTGCACTGCACAGCTGGTGGCAGGAACACCTGGAGAAGGCCCTTGCGCTGTCCTGGAGAGGCGGGTCCTGTGGTGCTTCAGGGCAAGGGGGTGCTGGGGTGCAGGCTAGTCTTCCACGCAGCAAGGAATACACCCTTCCCTGGCTATGCTGAGCAGAAGGAAGCACCCCAGGGGAGGGAGGGGCGCAGGCTGTTCCAAGGCCTGGCCTGGCCTGGCAGACCGGTGGTTCCGGTGAGGACAGAGTTCACTTCCTCCGCTGGGTCTCAAACATTGAGGAAGGAACACAGCAGTAGGTGCGGTTCTTTAAAATGTTTTCAAAATACGTATTTTATTCCTTCCCCCAAGTGTTTGGCAAAGTTTTCAAGTAGGCAGTTTCACGTTCAAAAATACAGGACAGTCCTTTAGGGACTGGCTCTGGATTAATCTTAGGATTCCTCAGCTTTCGGCGGTGCACAGCCAGCTCGCATGTTACCTGTAGAAGCAGCCCCGGCCTCCCGGGGATGCACCCACTTAACACTGTGGCCCGAGGGAGGGTGAGTGCAGCCGGCTGGGGCCCTGGTGGCTGGCTGGCAGTGCCCTAGGAAGCCTCCCCCATGCCACATTCTGTGCTGTTCATATCCACCGGCAGCTTTGAAGTCCCATTCAAAGGACACATTCTCTTGGAGATGTGTTTTATATAAATCTTAAGAGTTGTTAGATCATCAAAGTTAATTATGGTAAATATGCAAACAACCAACAACAACAAAACCCAAACCCAACCCTTTTGTGGTTTCTACATTTCTGCACCTTCATCGTCCTCGTCGTCTTTGGCTCTGAAGTGCATTTTCCTGAATTCTCGTCTGCTCATGGAAGGACAAGACAAGGAGGCTGGTGGCAGGTCCTTAGCGGGGAGAAAACAGGGACCTGAATCTCAGGTGATGCCACCCGCATCTGTAATGCACCCTGCTCTGCTCCGGGTCTTACAGGGCAGAAAAGGACTGGGTCTGAGCACCTGTCCCGGGGGAGGACACAGGGCGAATGTGGGGGTGGTGGGGGTTCTTGCAGAGCTTCGTGTGGTCAGCGGAGCCTGCAGGATGGAGTTCGGCACCCTTCACGTGCGGATCCCCCTGACCCCACCCACAGCATGGCATCTACAGGCACCAACGCTCAGGCTGGTTGGGAGTGCAAGTCCTCAAGGGGCACAGATCCTAGCTGTCCTGTGTTACAGCGGCTCCTTTTCCTGAGACCTGACTCCCACAGAAGTGGGCAGCGTGTAGCTCAGGCACAGGCAGCTGCCTGCATGCCACAAGAGTTGGAGGTGCCGCGCTTACCTGCATGAGCTCCACGTTCCCGAAGAACCTGCTCACAGGCAGGGGCTGATTGCTGTCATCGTCTAGAAAGACACTGCTGTCTGTCAGGAGCAGTGACGTCTGAGTCTCCCCCGTGGCCGACCCGTCGGGAGCCCCAGAGCTTCGGTCGGCCTCCTCTGCCGCTGCACTGGCGCCGGGCTCCAGCGGGGACAGACCACCTTCAGTCTTTGTGGGGATAGTGTCGCTCGCACTCTGGCAGCTGGTGTGGGGAAGAGCAGCAGCCTCCTGGTGTGCAGGGACGGCAGTGTCACTGCCCGGGAGCACCACGCTGTCTTCCACAGCTGCGTCCTTGCACGGGGCCCTGGGTGCCGCTTTGGGCAGGGTAGCCTTGTCGCCCCTGGAGACCAGCTTCTGTAATTCGGCCTTCACCACGTGACCTTTGTCATACTTGAACTTCTTTGAAGTCCGCCTGTCTGGGGCCTTGTGTGATGAGGACGACTGCAGAGGAAGAAAAGTGTTAGGAAGCCCACACACATCTAGCAGACCCAGAGGCCTCCGTCCCAGAGGTCCCCGAGTCTCCTCCACCCGAGAGCGTGGACGCTGGGGCCACAGGGCCCCGCACCCACCCCCACAGGCGGAACCGAGGCGACGGCTGAGAGCGCGCGTATAGAGGTGGCTGTTCCGTGTCCCCAGGGAGGCGAGTATTTTCTAAGGATAAAGGATTCTTTACACTCCCTCTGGGCAGGAAGCAGGCTCCGCGAAGGTGAGAATCTCTGCTGTGTCGCCAGGTAGGGCCTGCCACGTCCCATGTGCTCAGAAAATACTTGTTAAAGTGACCTGGGCAGAGCTTTATAAGCCACTCCCGAGCCAGGCACCTGGCCAGTCACTGGAGTACAGCCTTGTCCCCGAGCCCAGACTTCGGCCTCGGGGAAGCAAAGCCTCCTTGGCAATGACAGCTGCGCTACGCTTAACAGCAGACCACCTGAGGTCCTTTCCAGCCCCTTACCCTTCGGTCGCTCAAGGCCTTTCTAGAGGGCGAAGCAGTGAGGCAGTGTGCCTGTGGCACCGGAGACAGGCCTGCAAATGGAACCATTAGCAACGGGGCACCTCAGAGCTGGGTCTCCGCAGACACGTGCTCTGGAGGCAAACCGGAGAGCGGCCCCTGCCCTGTGGAGGGCGCCTTCTCTGAGAGCTGTGATGCTACTGTCACTCATCCCTGAGATGGGGCTCCCTGGGGTCTGAGCAACCATCCTGTCTTTGAACACAACACCTCTACGGGGACAGCTGTGGGTCCTGATCGCTGCGCATGCTGTGGTACCGGCTCACCGGGCATGCTGTCCTGGGGGACGTGGAGCCAGCGACGTCCTGGGCAGGGGCTGTGATGTCCGTGGAGCAGTTCCGGGCTCTCAGGCGTGCTGAAGACCGCACTCCACCTGTGAGCTGGACCAGTGAGGCTCGGTCAGGGCACGCGTCTGAGGACGCACACAGCCCTCCGCAGTCACCTGCGTAGAGGGACGGCCACAGTCCAAAGTGCATGTCCCACATGGCCCTGCCTGGTCTCTGCCATCCTGGGAGCGGCACTATCTGTCGCCTAACCTTGGGTGCCACAGGACACGAAGGCACAGCAGGGTGCCCATGGCCAGCAGCATGGATCCTTCCTTGAAGCCCTTATACTCTCACGTGGGGTCACAGTCCCTCACAACAGGCAACACGACAGCAAAGCCAGTTCAGCCGTGTGCCTCCTCCCGAGCTACAGTCCTGGCCACAATGTAAAGCAAGTGGCTTCTGTCCTGCAACACTTACTGTCAGCGCACTGCCCACCTCTGTGTCACCCCGAATAACCTCAGAACAGTTAAGATAACCTGCTCTCGGAGAACTCTAGGCTGGGAGAAGCAGCGAAACACAGTACAGGGCGACACCGTGAAAGCAGCATCCATGTAACACCATCAACTGAGCTACAGATTCTATGCGTATTTCATGTTTTTCCATGAATTCCTGTTTATCTGTCCATCATCCTGGCTAGGATGTCACACTGCACTTGCATAATAATACATTTTAAAGCTCACCTTAAATTTGAAAGTGAGTAATAGAGAAGCGATGGATAGAACCTAGCAGAGAAGTTAGAAACTGTAGGCTCAGAAAGTGCTGTCTCCACACACCCTGGAACTGGGGATCCAAAAGGTGATGGGGACAGCCACCCCCAGCAGTGGAGGAACTGAACAGACAGGGAAAGCCGGGCAGTTCAGAAGCTGTTAGGGTGCTCACACCCCCACCCCAAAGCTGGTAACCCCAGTACTCCGGTGCTCCCAGGCACAACTCCAGGCTCCACGTCCTACACCTGGATAGCAGAGAGGCGAACAGCAGCCAGGGAAGGACAGAGGGGCAGCCCTGTTCCCTGGCCCCCCTCCAAGGGGGTGAAGTGCTGAACCCGGGACGGGGGAGCCTGCAGCAGTGTGGTCATGGTGACAGCTGCCTGGAAACCACTGCCTCAGACTGACAGAAAAGATTCTGTCTGCACAGGCTCTGGCTGTTGAGCATCTCTGGTCTGAGAACCCCAAATGCTTCAGAATCCACAGTGTTTTGGGCAAAAGCATCCTATTTTGAAGTAGTTTCTTTCTGGATTAGAGACTTAAGGTACATTATCTAAAGTGTCCAGTGCCCACAAAAAAAATGCAAATCATGAAATAGGAAAGTAGGTGATAACAGGCAAGTGGAATAAAAGCATGTGACAGAAGCTGCTTATGAGAGTGACCAGGGATTAGAGTCACCAAAGACTTCGGAGCAGCTGTTCAGACAAGCTGGAGGGCAAAAGGAGTGAGATGTGAAGACAGATACATGACACATCACACAGAATAGAGTGTGTCTGTGTGTACGCATGTGTGTACACACCTGTGTACACATATAAAATACAAACCTATAAACACACACACGTGTATACAAGAAATAACCAAGTGGAAATTCGGGAGTGGACAAAGTACAAGGAAGGCTCAACAGCACATGTCAACTGGCAGAAGAAAGAATAAACAGACAAAGATAACGGGCAGGACATGTAACCAAAGAACAAATGAAATGATGAAAACTCTACGCCATTCAGAAATGCTGACAGTGTGATACGCACCAGCAACTGTGTGACAGGACAAGTGGGAAGGAAAAGAATATGTAAGGAAACGGGCTGAAAACTTCCACTTTTGTGTGTGTATGTGTGTCTTTTTGAGACAGGGTCTTGCTATGCAGGTTAGGCTGGCCTTGGGCTCACTTTGTAACTCAGGCTGGTCTTCAAATCACAATGATCCTCCTGTCTCACCCTCCCGAGTGTGAACTTCCCGTGTTGAAGCCAACAATCCAGACATCCAGGAACATTTGTGAAATGAACTCAGAGTAGGAATAATGCACACAGGTTATGCAGGGTAAACCCACAGAGGACATATCACTAGAAATTCTCAAAGGCGGAGTTAAGAGCAGAACCTTGAAAGCGGCAGTCTTGCCCCCTGGGAATTATTGAAGCCTCAATAATCGACAAGCCACCTCAGGAGAGGCATGCAGACCCCCAAGACAGAACACTGAAACATCTTCAAAGGGCCGAAAGAAAAAACGCCCAGAGTCCTGTATTCAGCACGGCTGTCCTTCAGAAGGGAGGCAGAGTAAGAGGCTCCAGGAGAAAGCTTGAGGGAATCTATTTCCAGCAGACATCTCCAAAGAAACTGCACCAGGCAAGGTAAAATCGCCTCCTTCGAGAAGATGCCTTAGCTCTTTCTATGCACTGGGGATGGAACCCAGGGAGTGCTGAGCTACACCCCTGGCCGTCTTCTTTCTTAAATGACTGGAGCAACTGCACACAGAACTACCTGGAAGAGACACGCAGACGTGTACTGTACGGCCCGTAACAAAACGTGACATTCGGCAGCTGGCTGCAGGTGGCGCGGTAGGAATGCTAGCTAGTTCTGCTGGTCTGGAACAGTGACAAAACAGAGACAAAATACCACAGAAGGCTGCTACGGGAAGAGCTATGTCTCCTTGGAGTGAAGCTGGTACAACTCTGAAGCTCATTAAGATGTTTATGGTAAAACAGCCGAAAGCACAAAATATGGTGCAAAAAATCATTAAAATGTTAACTAGGAAGTGTTCACTTATGTAAAGGAAGAACGAGACGGAAGACAAACGTGTAGCCAGGCGTATGTGCATCTGTCTACTCGGTGTCCTAGCTCTACGCGTGAATGGGTTCCAAAAATTCAGCCCAATAGAGCAGGCGTGGTGGCGCAAGGCTGTGGTCCCAGCCCTCGGGAGGCTGCGGCAGAAGGGTCACTGCGCGTTCAAGGCTAGCCCTGACTGCACAGGGAGACCCCGCAGAAACTGTCAGGGTGGGCACTGAAAAGGTCTCGAGCGAGGTGGAGATGATCGGTCCCTGTGCCAGGTCAAGGGGCTCCTGGCGCCGTGCTTTCCCAGCTCCCATCCCTGGCCTCCAGCCTGGCCCCGGTCGGCCAGCCTCGGGGTGGACCCGCCGGGCGCCCTGCACCCGACCTCAGGGCCGGCTGGCCTCGGGCCGAGCCTCCGCTCCTGGAGGCGTCAGAGGAGGAAGGGGAACTCCGAGGCCGCCGGGAGCCGCCCTACCCAGGCAGCACCTGCAGGGCTCACGCCGGGGCCAGCTCCGGAGCCCCCTTCCAGCTTGTGGCCCACCCCCGGAGGCGTGGCCTGAAGACAGCACCCTGGCCTCGGCGGGGAGCCCCTACTGCCGCCCACCCGCAGCCCGCAACCCCTCACCTTCCTGTTCCTCATGAGTGTGAGCGGCGTCGCCGCCCCCGCGCCCCGACCTCCGCAGAGCAACAACCCGGCGGCCTCAACACGCGGCGCCGCGGCTCTGACGCCATCGCGGGGCTGACCAATCAAGACCCGCTGTCGAAAGGCACGTGATCCAACACACTTCCTCTTTTCCCTAAGCAGGCGGGGCGTAGCTCCCTGGGTTTAAAGCTGGGGCTGCACGCCGGAACCGGAAGTCCCGGAGTCTGCGGAGTACACGCGTGAGGAGCGCCAGCCTTGGCGCTTCCCTGGCCGCCATATTTGAGAGGGGCATCCCTTTCGGTGTAGCCGCGGCCGCCATGTTTAAGAGGGGCGTCTGTTCTTCCCGCGGAGAACCTGCGAGCGCGGGAAGAGGGCTGCACCCGAGGTCCCCTGTCCTCGCTTCCGGGCGCCGTGGCTGTCGCCCTTGACGGTCGCCCGGCCTCCGTGTTCCCGCGTCTCCGCCGCTCCGTCCCTCTCGTTCCCGGGACCACGGCGGCCTCCCTGGGCGAGGGCGGCACCGGGACTCTGTAATCGCTGGACGGTGCAGGGCGCAGGGGGGCGCGGCCTCTGCCCGGGGGTGCAGCGCCGCCGGCCGCGCTGCGGTTGTGGAATAAGCGGGGGCCGCCACTTGCTTTCTTAAGTTTCACGAAAGGGAGCAGCTTTGTCGGACCCTTTGGGTGCCAGGTGGGGCGCGAGGGCGCCGGAGCGTGCGAGTGTGCACGGAGGTGTGAAGCGCGTGCAGGCCCGGCCCCCTCGGGCCTGGGACGCAGCCCTCGAGGGTCGGGAAGCCCGTGCCAGGAGGCGGCTGGAGGGGTCCGGCTTCTGGCAGCGACCGCCGCGCTTGCAGTCTCAGCGTGTGCACACACGTACACTTGCAGACTCACCTGCATGGCCCGTGTGGCCGCCTCCCCCCAGCCCTGTCCCTCTCCCCACCTTACTTCTCACGATGGGCACCAGGGAAACGACAGGTGTGTGGAGGTGGAGGAAACGGAAATGAATATAATCGCCGCCCGCTACAGCGCGGTGCTCCGTCCCACCCCCAGCCGCCGGCTCCCTTTCGGTCAGCGTCTTGACCCTGTGCGGCTCAGGTTTTGAGTTCTTGCAAGCCGGGGTTTACGCCTCACGACCAGCTCCCATCACGACTCAGGGTCTTTCTCACAGACAGACAGTGGCTCCCCACTCCCAGCAGGGTGGGAATGGGATTTGCAGCCCTCAGCTGCTCAGCAAGGGCTTCATCCGCCCTTCCTTGACAATGTCGGTGTCTCCCTGTCTCACTGCACACTTCTAATTGGGAGCAGCTCCTGGTGTTCCACACAGCTCCCTGTTCTCTGTCTCCTGGGGCCCACAGCCCCCAGAGATCACGGATCACTGGTGGGGGTCTTGGCATAGCCCTCTGCTTCAGACTGAGTGTGACCTTTGTGGCCCAGCCCAATGCATGCACACAGTGGGCACAGAGACGCTGCCGACGGAAGACCTTGGAGTTTGCCTGTCCAACTCCCCGGTCCCCGTTGGCTGCGGTGTTGGCACTCTCCCTCTGCCGGATGTGCACCCTGCTCTCTGCTTGTGTCACACATGTCTGCCACGATCCTTCCACCCCGGTCTCTCTGCTCGGAGACCTCTCCCCCAGCCCCTTGCTCCCCATTTTGCCTGGCTCATCCGGTTTCAAACTTCAGCCCTTGCCTTAGTTACTTTTTCACTGTCGAGACACAATATGAGACACAACCGTGAGGAGAAGTTTATTTGGCTCACAAAATGTAGAAGTTTCAGTCCATAGTGGGCTGGCACCAAGGCAGGATGGCACAGCTGAGGTTCCTGGTGGAGGAGAGACAGTCCACAGCTTGGAGGCAGGAAGCAGATCAAGGGAGGAGGAGGGAGACAGACACTTGCAGGCCACGCCCCCAGTGGTCTGCCTCCTCCAGCCAGGCTCCACTTGCCAGTATCACATTTAGCTATAAACTCGTAGGAGGACCAATCCACTCATGAGTTATCACACTCCACGGTGTGACAGCCCCATCTATGAAGGATGAGGCTTTGGGGGAACATCTAGATATGAACCGTAACAGACTCCAGCTCAGTTTAAATTTCATGCCAAGGGCAGGGACTTTGTTAGTTGCTCACCTTCTTACTATAGGTTTTTTGTTTTTTTTTTTTTAAAGCATTCTTCACTTTCCCGTCAAAGCTTGATGAAACATTGGTTCTTTTCTTTCCTAGCTCCTTTCATGGCTTGTATGTGTATTAACACATGTCTGTGGAGTCCCTGTTTGGGGCGGTGCACAGGTCTCATGTGCTCAGGAGGTAGGTGTGGTCGAGGGAGAGGAGGAGGAGGAGGAAAAGGAGGAGCAGCTGTCCTGAAGCCCTAGAGAAGGCTGATTGGAGAAGCGATGGGGAACAGGAGGTGACAGATCTACTCCTGAGTTGGAGAAGACACTTTGTGACCAGGTTCACCTCTGCTCTGCCCTCCTGCCTTTTCAGGACCACCCAGAAGCAATGGGCAGGGGTGCCCTGAGGATAACGGGTCTGGGAGTCTGGCAAGCCAAGCCACCCCTGCAGAGGTGACAGGTGCGGAGGAACTGGTCTTAAATTTTCCTCCTCACCCTCCATTCTGCTGTGTCCTGGAGGGTGCACGATGCAAGACAGAGCTGAGGCTCAGCCTGTCCCTGTTGCTTTCTTGTGTTGACTATTCATGGCCAGCTGCATCCCTGTCCTGAGCTGAGGGCTGGTGGTGGGATGGCGGTGCGTGGTGCCTGTGCAGTGCTTGTGTGAGGTTAGATTGTAAGCCCCAAGAGGACATAGGCCTGGGTGGTGGCTGGGGTGCACTGGCAGGTTCCCAGAAGCATGTGTCATACAGCTGGCGTGGTGTTAACACGCATGGAGGTCAGTGCAGCGGGATCTGGGGGGAGGTTTGTATGCTCGCGCACACCGCAGATGTGCTGCTTAAACACTGCTGTGTCCACAGCTCGGTATTTGCCTTCAGCAAACACTTGAGTGGCTGATGAGAAGGTGAAGAGAATTTCCAACTGATTAATGGTCAGTGGACTCATTCAACTAGGCTGCCCTGGTCAGGGCAGGGCACATGTCTGCCACGGGCTGGTAGGCTTGTCTCTCACTCTTGACTCATCCTATTTAAAAGAACCGTGCGGTAGAGGAAGAGACAGAGAATCAAGCAAAGCTTGCAGCTGGCTTTTAAGATGCTGTCTCCCTTGTCCTCACTAGGGCTGTCCTGTGGCCAGCCCTCCCCTTCCTCTGGTTTTGCTGGCCGGTACCGACCTGCAGTTGGACAGCCCGGGGACAGGGTGGTGACGAACAGCTCTGGAGTTGGTGGTGCTGGTGTCAGTCTGTGCACATGGGAAATGGCAGCGCGGATGCTGGCGTGGCGGGCGGTCCTTGCAGAGCTCCCACCTGAGGCTCGACATCTGTGGGATTTTGGCAGCCTGCTTGGCAGCCTAATCGATAATCTGTGACATTAAACTGTTTGAGCACAGTGGACCATTTCCTGCCTCGAATATCCCACAGCCTTCGGGGAGCAGGCCCCAGCTGTGGGTACCTGACACCTGTCTTGCTGTAGTCACTTTGCAGTTGGTGGGAGGGGTTACCTCTGGCTGACTGGTGGCCGGTGAGCCACCATGCCCAGTGGGAGATAAATATATTTTCTTTAGAAAAAGATTCTAAGTACTGTTTTTCTTTCTTAATTGTCTTTTATTTTTGGCTTCTGTGTTTTATCTACCATAAAGTGAGTCCGAGAAACATCTAACTGTGCCTCTGTCTTCCCTTACAGCAACTCAGGGTCATTTTAGTGAGCCCCTGACGTAAACATGCAGGGTGCATCCACGTTCACTACCCGGCTCTGTCACCGGGAGCAGAGGCCGGGCCTCCCTGCCTCCCCTCTGCCAGCTCCGGGGTGGAATCACAGCCATGGTGTCCTTTGAACAAAAGGCCTGGGTTGGCAGAGCCTGAAAAAGGCTAAATTTCCTGCTCAGTAAGGAAAAAAAAAATTCTGTTTTTGAGACCCTCTGGGCAGCCGGGAAGAAAACCAGAAAGACGGAAAGGGGATTTCCTACCATCTCATCTCTGCAATCCAATATTGTTCTCACTGTTTTGCTTCATTGTTTTGCTTTATTCAATATTGTTTTGATTGGTTTTGTTCTGTTTAGTTTTGGGTGTGATTTTGCTCTACCTGATGGCACGGACAACCCTTGTGAAGATAACGAGATACACTGTGGTAGCTATTGTTGTTTTCCTGTATCCCGCTTTGAAATTCGGTACCAATTTTGCTGCTTTGTTTTGACTGGCTTTGTTCTGTTCTGTTTTGTTGGATTTCACTATCTTTAAAAAAAGTTAAACATAAAAGATGAAAAGCTGCTCTGAGCTCCCCCTTGCTTTGGGGGGGGGCACTGGTGGGACTCGGCCTGCAAGGGCAAGGGCGTGTGAATCCCTCTCCTCAGCCACGCTGTTCCTGCCTCCCCTCAGGGGTCCCATCCCGTCCTCCCACTCTTGTGGCTAAACATCAGGGGCAGGTTAGGAACAGCCACGATGGAGGTGCGTTTTGCCCATGAGCACGATGCTCACTGTCGATGTTTTCCCCTGCGTGTGGGGGTGCAGGAAGTCCTAGGGACTGTCCCTTTTCAAGGCATTGCCGTCATGGACGCCCCAGAAGCTTTGCACCTTGCAAGGAAGGCACTGGGGAGGCTCCCGGTGCCTCTGCCTGTTTGCTGATGCACAATTTAGCAGGCTGTGGAACTGGTTAGGACTGGGAACTGCTGGTTTCATCTTGTCTCCACCGCCTTCTTTCCAAAGTCTCGCACAAAGTGGCAGGCAGGGCCTGCTTTCTCACCCGGTCTTCACATGCATCTCGGGGTTTCCAGGGTGTCGGCCCACACCCAGGTTTCAGCTAGAGAAGTTTGTGCTTTGTCTAGGATGTTGCGGCAGAGCCATTTGGAACTCTGGGAGGTTCTCGAGCTAACTCACTCCGCCTGTGATCGTGAGAGACCCAGAGGCTGGGGCAGGAACCCTGTCTCTGTCACACGCAGACACAGCATGAGTTCAGGCCTCCTGCAGAGCCAAAGGACCCAGCGTACTTACAACCTCATTTCCAAAACCTGTCACAAGTTCAGCGACTGCAAACCACCCCCAGGTTG